CAGCGACTCGCCTACCCCGCGGCTGCCGGCATTCGAGTCAGCGCACAAGATCTCCCCCCCGTGAGTGCAAAGGAGATTGCTTCTGCCTTTGCGCTAATCTTCGAGGACCGGTTATCCCATATTCAGACCGCTGCCCTCCTCACATTGCTCCACTCAACCGGCAAGGATAGGCAGCCAGATGTGATTGCGAAATGCTCTGAATGCATGCGAGACGCTGCTTGCCAAGTTGAGAAAGCTCCACTTATCAAGATTATGAAGTCTCGTAATCTGAAAGCAGGAAATTATGAAGGTGGATTGGTATGCATAACCACCTCTATTTTGTTATTGAGTCATATTGATAAGCCGTGATGTATAGTGTGATATTGTTGGAACCGGAGGAGATTCTCATTCGACCTTTAATATTTCCACGACCTCCTCGATCGTTGCATCTCCTCTTCTCATGACAGCTAAACATGGAAATCGCGCTCAAACATCGACCTCTGGGGCCGCAGACGTCCTCAATGCCATCCAGCCATTGCCACCCAAGATCGCAGCCGTCACCGCTGAGAATTTACCCAAGGTCTACGAAAAAACCAACTATTCATTCTTGTTTGCCCCGAATTTCCACCCGGGAATGATGCATTCCAACCCTGTCCGCAGGGGTCTCGGCCTTCGAACGATTTTCAACTTAATGGGCCCCTTGGCAAACCCCGTTGATTGGGCCCTGGAAGCACGCGTAGTTGGCGTGGCATACCAGAGCCTTGGTCCAGTATTTGCTGAGGCTTTTAGACAAAGCGGAGCGAAGAAAGCCATGATTGTTTGTGGCGCCGAGGACATGGACGAAATCAGCTGTGCTGGAAAGACAAACTGCTGGAGGCTCTCCGAGTACCCGAACCCTGCATACCAGGCACCAGAAGATGATGCAGATGACTCAAGTGAGGATGATATCAACAATCCCCGCAGCATTGTCAAGGTCGACACCTTCCAGCTCGAGGCAGCAGACTTTGGGCTCTCTAGCCACCCTCTTAGTGATGTTGGCGGAGGTAAATCGCCCAAGCAAAACGCAACGAAGCTGATGAGTATACTTCGGAATGAGCTTCCACGGGATGACCCCATCTTGGAGTTTGTTCTCATGAATGTGGCCGGTCTACTCGTCACCTCGGGCATTTGCGAGGCCGATACCAGCAATATGGGACCTGGCGATGATGGTCAGGTCATCACCGAGCGTGGCCCTGGCGGTGGTCGCTGGAAAGAAGGCGTGCGTCGCGCGCGCTGGGCAATCGAGAGCGGGCAGTCTCTGAAGAACTTGGAGCAATTCATTGAAGTAACTAACCAGCTCTAAAGTAGAATCTTTGTGACTAGTTTTCGTAGGGTTGGATTTAGTTTGTTATAGCCTTTTTGGGTCCTAAAAAGCTTTCGGGTTGGGTTATGCATAATTTCATGTACGGTTAGATAACTATGTGGAGATTTCGAATCCATGAGTCAATGCCTATAATTCTCTGAAACCAAAAACATATAGTTCTTTCTAATGAAAAAGAGCTGAAGCCTATCCTCACAGGTCCAGATATGGACTAGGACTAAGAGGACATGGCTAGAACATCGTATCTGGTTCTTGTAGACTGAGACCATAGAAAACCTGGTTTGTGTAATTCAACCCCAAAGCGCCATTGTATGCATAATTCGTCAAAAATTCAAGACTTCGAAGGATCTGAGGCCGATTCCTTCGATCCCGCTTGAGCCATCGCAATCTCCAAACATCCCTATTTTTGTTGGGGTACATGAAACATCTACCGAGCCTGGAACTGGACCATACTATTGAGACGCAAGAACGAAAAAGTTAGCCCATGTCTCGCGTATATCGCATGATAATGTCTAGGAAAGAAAATCTTACCGCTTGGTACGCTCCTTGTACAGCACACGGTGACCGCAGTCCTTGCAGCGAATCTGGTCGCCGCGCTTGAGGGGAACACGGGCAGAGCACTCGCCGCACAGGTAGGTGACTGAGGGGCTGTCGATAGCCATGGCGTTGCCGAAACCGCCGGCTTGGGTGTCGAAGTTGTTCTGGGTGCCCATCGAGGGGACCTGGTAGGTTTCGCGAGACATCTTTTGGGGTTGAGAGTGAGGTGTTGGTAAGTTGGGTATTCGGCGTGCGAGTTGATTGTGACCGGTGGACTGATGAGAGTTGTGAGGTGGAAATTAGCTTGTAGGCTGAGATACCTCGATTCTTTTTTCTTTCTGGAGCGCGGGATTTTAGGTGCTTAGTCATGCAGATGACAGATTAGTCATCATATACAGGCCCCACCTACCTAGGCAGGCAATCCCCAGGGCTTGAAGTACAGGAAGTCCTCTGATTTTGAATGAAATTTAGAAAGGAGGTCTTGATTCATGTGTTTTGATAGCTCGATTAATATCATTGATCGTATCTGAAGGTATCTACCCCTTTTTTCTATGCATTTTATCATGTCAAGCTTAAAACAAATCAGCACCTCATGTATCGTTGACAGTGACTTCAAAAATGAAAACATGGTATATCCCCCAGAAAAATGCAAGAAAACCCAGATCCTGCGCCATGCAAACAAAGCAAAGAGGCCACGAAGAATACCACCACAAGGGTGGACCTTGTAGCAACGAAACAAAGCAGACAAGAATTACCAGCCACCACCAATCTTCCCCGCAAGCTCCACAACCCGATTCGTATCATTAGCAGGTGTTTGATCCTTGCCAACATCACTCTCTACCTTGCGGTAGGTAGTATAGACGAGCTTAGAGAGGGGGATGTCCATGTATTCCGACCAGGACTGCAAGCGTTCATGAATTTTAGCCTCCTTGTCAGCCAATGGAGACAGCTGAGACCGAGTCTCTAGTTCAGACTCAGACTCAGATTCCATGGAGAAATAAGCCTCGTCGACGCGGGCAAGCCACGCGCGCTGCTCATGTGGCGATGGTTTCATAGATGCGTCTAGTGCCTGTCCTTGGGAAGAACCAATGACTTCCCTAGCGTCCTCGACTCGGATCTGGCCACCGCCATTCGTGCACCCACCAGGACAGGCCATGACCTCCACGTAGGCGTAGTCTGACCCTGAGCTGTTTGTGGAAACGGCGTTACGAGATATAGGCTGGCGCCGACCTGCGGCGGGTCTGTCGGCGGGTCTGGCGGCGGGTTTTGCGCCGGGAAGCCTTGATACACGCGCGGGCTTGAGCTTCCGGACAAGATTTTGGATATTTCGGAAACCGTAATAGCGAGCTGCTTTCAGAATGGTTTGACCTTCTTGAGACATAAGCACATATTCGACGACGTCGACATTGCGTCCGCGGTTGATCACAAGTTCGCTGCCCGGGTTGCGAGCTTGGAAAGTCATGAGAACGTGATGTAGGTAGCCTCCAGAGGTACCCGTAGCAAGAGATTGTTCCGCGCGAGAGCGCTTGAAGGAAAGAAATGAATCGAGGATTTTTTCGGGGAAGGGTGGGGTAAAAGACGAAGGCAGAGGCTGCAAAGGTAGGGTTGGCAGTGAGAACCCTCGGGACGAAGCTAGAGACAGAAGCTCACGGGCAGTGATAACACAGTCCACGTCGCGAACGGGCTGCGTTTCAGAGTCCGTGGAATCTCCCTGTCGCCACGACACATCTGTGAGTTCTTCCCGACTAGCTTCTAGCTTCTTGTCAAAGCAGGGCATGACGGCCAAATGCCAAATCCGAGAAGGGTGGACCCCGAGAGACTTGCTCAAAACGGTCTTGAGGAATGTCCCCGACAGAGCTTGCGGAGACTTGAGTCGAGAGAGATGTGGAAGTATAAAAGGGTGAGTCTTCTCAGCGTAACAGATCCATCCAGGACATGCCGAGGATAAAATAGGCCGCTTGGGAAGAGTGTCATCCGACTGGCTCGCTGTTGACGATTCACCTGAGCTGAGTGAGTCCGAAACCTCGTCTGCAGTGAGTACCAGTACAGCCTCTCTCATGGCATTGGTGTCGACAACCCACGTAAATCCATTGCCGTGTTTGCCCCCACCCCGCAAGCCCTGCGGGCCACTAAGTAATTGGTTGATCATGTACCCCGCTTCTTTCTCAGAAATTCCATAAATCGTTGCCAGACTGGCCCTGACTTGCGGACTGACACTCGCGACAAAGATCTTACCCTCTCCAGAATCTTCGGTATTATTGACTGTGACCCCATGATGCTGATGCTTCAAGGGAATCTCCGGATGCGCATCAAGTGTATTGAGGACCTCGGCGTGAGACTGAAGTGATATCAACACAGCTTCAGCAGATGTAACACAGCCAGAGCAAGCGAGGCAGTCTGTCAAAGAAATCTGTGCGGGGGGTAGATTCTCGGGCTGGACTTTGTCTTCCGTTGTTACTTCATAGGCGTCCTATAATTAGAAAATTAGTAAAAGAAACTCAAATGCCACATAGTTCCAATGAGGCCAATAAGTGGACATACTTCTTGATTCCTCGTGTCTTTCGATGGAAGGGTTTCAACTGGTTTGATACACGCGACCCCCGGCGAAATGAAATCATTCAGATCGTCTGCTGACAGGATCGCGCTCATTGTGGCGGAGTACTGCTTTGGCTTTGAACGGTTCTGAATGAAGAGAAAGAAATGAGCTGAATTTGGCTTATTGGATTGCAAGGAATAATTAGAATAAAGACATCGAACCCTTGGATGATTAAAATAGTTCTGCAAGAAGGCGACAAGCCAACGGCGTTGCACGCTTTGTCATGGTGGCGAGATCGGAGATAAGCTCACCGCCCTGATGCGGGCTACGCTTTCTCTGATTGGTCGAATTGGAAGTATGCACGTGACCCATCTGATGTTTCTTTCAACTCGCACTGTTGGAGTCTTGAGTCTTTGTATTCTCATATTCTTTCAATCCATACTATTTAGGAACTTTAATGGATTACTTTTAGCCAATTGGCGAGTAAATATGGGCCATAAAGAACCCCTGGAACCCTCATCCTCATCAAATTAGCAACTTCTCTACTGTTTCTTTCACATATCGATCACCTTGTACACAGAGAAAGCCATGCCTAAAAGGAAACAGCCTGCCCAGTCCGATAACTCCAGGACATCACAGTCGACACAGTTCACAGAATCCACAGGTTTCCAGTTCGCAAACCAATCACCTTCCTCAAGCAGAAACAGTCAGAGCAGTAGTGGCCTCACTGGACTCATCGATACCATTGTTCAGAAATTCTCTTCTGGATCCAGCGACTCCCGCATCTCCAAGGCGTCTAGCGATTTAATAATGACTGGTCTTGATGGTCAGGCAAAGAGCCCTGACCTTCTCACACCACCCGAAACCGTATCCGGATTTTCACTTATACCAGAAAGTCAGCCTGATGTACTTAAAAAGAAACATCCGGCCCAAAAGCCTGATATGGCTAAGAAGCAGCACCCCAGTATTCATGGAAAAAGGGACAAGGGCAAGGGGGCCAACAAGCCTGAATACATTTCAATGAAGAAGGTCATAACAACAACAAAGCAAGCCACGATGGAAATTTTGTCCAGAACAGAATTGGAGGGAACTCGGTTTGGTTATATGGGGAACAGATGGACCTCTCCTGTGCTGGACCCTAATTCCGTGGAGTATCCAAACGTGGACACTGTGGTTAGGGTCGTGGCGGGAGACACATATGGCCATGCCCTCGAGATGCAAAATACGGGCAGCACCACCGATCACATGCCAGTATGTGTTCTCAACTTTGCCAATGCCGGCAAACCCGGTGGAGGCTGGCTCAATGGTGCTCGAGCCCAGGAGGAGCAGCTTTGCTACCGAAGTACACTCATTGATACTCTCCATACCCGATTTTACCCAATGGACGATCTGGAGTGCCTATATTCACCCAATGTGATCGTTTTCCGAAAGAGCTTGGACAACGCGTATAGTTTCATGTTGGGGGACGAACAACTACACCTAAATCCCACTGTCAGTGTTATCAGCATGGCAGCACGGAGCCAGCCTAAATTGACCGCCGACAAATCCACGTACATGGAAATAGCACAGCGATATCTCATGATAGCCAAGATGCAATTGATTCTACGCACGGCAGCAAACAACAATCACCGCCGCTTGGTCCTTGGTGCCATTGGTTGTGGGGCCTTTCGCCATCCTACTCAGGAGGTGGCCGACTGCTGGTACGAGGTTCTCATGAAAAAAGAGTTCAAGGGTTGGTTTGAGCGGATTTATTTTGCAGTTAGAGACGCCCCCAAGGAGAAAAATATTGAAATTTTCAAAAAGAAATTGGATGGTATGAACATTTGATGAGTCTTTCAAAGCTCAATTTTATTTCTCGTTAGCTTTTCACGCTTGGGGATGGTTATAGGAATTTTTGAATCAAGTTGCGTGTATATATAATGTAGGTTTTCCCACAGTTCTTCGACAATACATAAACATCTTCTGATTCTTTGCCTTGATACACCAAATCAATAGGTTTCAGGTGTTTTTTTCGAATTGTACTTCCGTCCGGCATTACTTTTATGTGAATTCAACCATTCTTACCCTTACAATAACTTTCACCCATTATTTTCGTCTACCAGTGTCGCTGTCTTTCCGTGCCACTTTTCACCAACTGGTACCATGAAGCAGTACCCTCGCATAAATCCACCAGGGCCGCTATTACTATCCTCGAACGCAGATAGGTCCTCGCCTTACTCGTCTTCGTACTTGTCCTCGCCCACCCGCACTATCCAGGTGGTTGATAGGAATTTATGTCTACATTTTCTATAAATTACTTGAGATTGGCCGGAGAATAAAATTACATTGTTAACAAACGGTGGACGGTAGAATCCATATAAAAATTTGACCACAACTGAGCATAAAAGCACAAAGTTGTAGAGATGGAAAAGAGAGCAACAAATAAACATGTAAAGAACAACAAGCGATATACTCATATATGTATAAAAAAAAAGATCAGCGCAAGGAGAATGTGCAACATACCTTCAGATTTTCCAATTATCAGGAAGTCCTCAACTCCAACCATCTAATGTTCCGTCGCATCTAGTTGCTACCAGGTTCTTCAATAGTCAGTTCCTCTTGACAAGTTGAGGAAAGCAAGAACCAGCCATCCCCGGTTTCTCCAGCAAGGGAAGGTTCAGTCTGGCTATGATAATGAACGCTGGTGCCAAAAGGAATCAAGAATTTGCGCTCAAGCCCGGCAAGCACTTCGACCATCCAGCGTTGACAATTCTGTACAGGGACTGCTACTACCGCTGATTTCACCTTGTTGATATCGCTTGCGGAAATACAGCCCACGTATTGCCTTCTCGATATACCGAAACTGTCCATTCTCTTCCCGGCCTGAATCTTGCGCTCGTAGTCACGATTCTGTGTAGGACCTCCAACGACGTGATACCATGTACAACGCAGCGACCCAGGGTTAGCAAGCAAAAGCATCCAATGCAAAGGGTCATTACCTCTCCGTTGACAGAATGCAACATAGACGTTCCATGAGTCAGCCATGTTTGACGAAATGATAGTCCTAGTCGTGTAAAATAATCGAACTTTTTCCTTTTCTGGGGGCGGGATTGTGATTGTTCGATGTTAGGATGGTTTGTTAGGATTCGAATGAGACTTGAGACAGATATATTCCAGGTTGGGACCGCCTGTAGGCTTTATATATCTGTCTCTTCGCTGATGTTATCCCTTCGCATACAATGACAGACAACCACTCTTTATGAGCGGAAAATGGAAATATTCGACATAAAGCCTATTGTCCGGGATTGGCATGAGTTTAACCGTTGATAATTGGGCTGATATATATAGTTTTTACCCATGTTTGGCTGTCTACTGTAAGAATTATGCGATATAAAGCCTCTTGCTTGGTATTAAAGTGAGTATAGTCATTGATAGATAGGTTAATCTATACGCTTTGTTACATACGTCTTGTTTTCTATTCGATAGCTGTGCATGGAATGCCTATCCGTATTACCAAAATAACAAAAATAACAACAAAGAACTTTCGAATTGGTCCTTGGCATTCATTTGAAAATAACTATCGGAAATTGCCCTTTCGTATCTTCTCATTTTGTCCTCTGTCGCCCCCAAATCCACCAAAATGTCACGAAATGCATACCCCGCTCCTCTAGTCATACCACCTCTGGGTGAAGAGCATACACACACTATTATTTCGCTCCATGGAAGAGGCAGCAATGCTAAACGCTTCGGTTATGAGCTCCTTGCCTCTGCGAACCTACAAGCTCGGCTTCCCACGGTGAAATTCATCTTTCCGACTGCAAGTAAGCGGCGGGCAACGAGGTTCAAAAAGATGCATATCAGCCAGTGGTTTGACAACTACTCCATTGAGGATCCCGGAGAGAGAACAGACTTACAGGTCGAAGGGCTATGTGAGACTGCTGAATTGATTCGTGACTTAATCGGCGAAGAGGTTCGCATCTTGGGTGCGGACAGCCATCGAAACATCGTCTTATGGGGGCTGAGTCAAGGTTGTGCTGCGGGTGTCTTCACTCTGTTAGGTGGCTGGCCCAACGCCACTGAAATAAACACGATCGGAGCATTCGTTGGGATGAGTGGATGGCTGCCATTTGAGCAGCAGTTGCACGAAATTCTGCAATGTGGCAAGTTTCCTGCGTCGGTTAGAGACGACCAGGAATCTCAATCCGATGATGACTCAGACTCAGATGATGGGAAAGCAGATATGCAGCAGCCAAACAGTGACGAAGAGTCAGACGCAGATGCAGATGCCTTCTCAGAACTGGACTTGGATGATGATCCGTTCAAAAGAAGCAGCCCTTCGCATGATGATTTCGACCCCTTTGCGGACGACGAGGAAGAAGCCTCACTGCTTGAGCACTCCATCAGTCATGTTCGGGATATTCTTGATCTTCCAATAATCTCAGCAGACGATCATTCTACAGAGGATTCGCAGCCACAACCAAGATTCCATCATCTCCAGACACCTCTTTTTATTGGCCACGGCTCTGAAGACCCAAAGGTTTCGGTGGAACTTGGAAGAAAGATGTCGCATGTTCTTTCAGCCGGTTTTGGGATGGATGTGACTTGGAAGGCCTATGAAGGGTTGGGACATTGGTATCGCGTGGAGGATGAGATTGAAGATATCTTGAAATTTCTTCAGGATAGGGTCGAGCTACCAGTGAGACAAGTACCTCCCCAAGACCAACGGGAGTAAAAGGATAAAGATCAATGACTACTTTTATGATTTACATAGATATACTCATATTGCCTCCGATATGGCTTAGATTATCCAATCCATTCGTTGCAAGTTACTAACGATATATACTGCATCAGTCTCACGCAGGTGAGAGTAGTCTGTCATATCATGCTGCGTTTTACTAAATAGAGTCTATTTCATTCCAGGAGACTGTTGATATTCCGATAGAAAATGCAGAACCATTCATTCAGATGCAGTCGCTAGGACCTCAGTTCCATATACATACATCTCACTTAGATGTACGGGTAGATCGTCTTCTGCCAACAACAGCGGGCTTTGGCTTCTCTTCTTCAAAGTACTCACTCTTTACAGTGGGTTTCTTTTGTTTTGGGGTTTCTCGCTTCTTTGTCTGTGTCATTTCTTCCGCTTCGGAGTCGCTTTCTTTCTTTAGGGTCATACGTTTCCGTTTTGAGTTGGCTGGTGTGGATTTTGCAACGTCTTCATCAACATCTTTGGCAACCGGACCAGTCTTCTTCTGGACAGTTGGAACAACGGCACTTGTTCGACCTCCAACGGTAAGGAAAGTGATCTTATCACCATTGGGTAGGAAGGCGGATTGGTTCTTTTTCCCCTTTCCCCAGCGGTGCTTGAAAAGCCAGTGCTCGGGAAACTTCTCTGAATCTGCCAGTACACCAATAGATGTGGAGCAGACATAATGAATGGCAGAGTGTAGTGCCTTGATCTGATCATCATTCAAAGTGTTGCTGTATTGTTCTGGGTGTATCTTGGCATGATAGAGAATCTCATCACTGGAAATAATTAGCTTCTGTATATTTCATGGTTTTTGTTTGATGAAAAGACCTACCCCATCCAGTTTCCGATCCCGCTAATATTCGCCTGGTCCAGAAGAAGAGCCTTGATCGGCACTTTCTTCTTTCCCAGCTTCTCTGTCAACCATGCTTCATTCACAATGTCTTTATCGGTGACTGGATCAGGCCCGTTTTCCTTGAGCGGAGTATGATTTCGGATTTCATCAGCGGGGCAATCCACCAGTCTAATGCGGCCAAGCCTGCGGGCATCCACAAATGCAGCTTCTGTTTTCGGCTCGTCACTTGTCTCCAGCAAGAACTTCCAATATTTAGGGGGCCACTCCTGATCTGCAGGCTTGTCGGTTCGATAGTAGTATGTATCAGCATCCTTGATCTTCAACCAGCCAGCCATCCCGAAGTGCATCACAACATGTGGTGGTGAAGACATTGTGATCCAGAAATATTTCCCTTGTTGGCCTGTTCCCACAACCTTCTTCCCTTGCATTTGCTTTTCGAATTCGGCAGCACTAGTGCCAACTTTGCCAAATATAATATCATCATGTTGTGCTTGTACTTTGGACAGCGTTTTCCCAACCAGGTGCTCACGAATGAAATGCACAATGCGGTGGACCTCTGCTAGTTCAGGCATGTTGGTGTGGTATTTTCAGTATCAATGGTTAAAAAAATGCAATAAATGACTTCGAGGGAATATACAAGTGTCTTCTCTCCGAAAGACGATCTGGCATAAGCAGGCACGCGATTCTCCTAAACGCGGATACGCGCTGTCACGTGCAGATAATTGAATGCGCTAGTCCCAAAGCAGGCCCGGAGCTGGGGGCTGATTACGGCATGACGCCGGTCGTCCACGGAGAGCTTCCAAGGTAGCTCACGCTTGCCACGAATAATACTAACAACTGTCACACAACAGATCATACTGCGTCTCAGTGAAATACGCTTCAATATCACACTTACCAACGCAACGTACGTTATACAACACTTTTGGACGACCTACCTCCATAAATAACGCTATACACATCCTCATTACAAACTGGAGTTGTTTTGGGTCAAATCGAGTCGAGAATCCGGGGAAGAAATTCGTGGGAGGATGTCACAGGCCTCATCGACAGCTGCGCCGGCGCTGACGCCTCGGTTCTGTTTTGACGAGAGGCTGTTTAGAGGTTCGTTTGGAATGTGCCGTCTTGATACAAGCTTATATTGACTTTTCCTCTTTTTGTTCAGACTTTCTTCGACTCTCAAGATCTACCATCGATGACTCGATTACACAGAACTTGAACGCGTTGATTACACCGGCCCAAAAAGGATTTGACCCATCATCAACATCGGTGCGACAAACCGACTCTAGCTCTCGGATCAACGCCGTAGCCTGCCAGACCTTCAAGGATAATGTGTTATTCCCGTCATGGCAAACAAGATCAGACGTTCTCACTTACTGCGCTGGTGTGGCTACGAGTCCGGATCCTGACGATCCCGACTTGATTCTTCGGCAAACAGAATCTGCCCGAGACCGGGAACGAGAAGTTGATGAGCGTCTGGACCCTTACTCTGCCCGCTTCTTTCCACGTGAAGCACGGACTGAGTCATTGGCCAATCTAATCCGCAATGAGCGCACTATTGAAGAGATCATTCGGGCTCGAACGTGGGGGATGGTATCAGAAAAATGCAGTGGATCTTCTACTTGGGAAGAAGCTCTCAATAGCTGGCGCCATTTGCATCAGAAATAGACTCATCTGGCAGGAGCTTGCCGCAGTACACTAGGATCACTATACAACTCAACTCTTTAATTCGGGGAGTTCCTCACTCCAAATTGTACATATCTGAACAGCCCTGACATTCTCGCTTCTGTTATTTTGCATCCTGCTTGCTTGCAGTAGAGTAGATTGGTTTTTGGTCTCGAATAGAAAGGGAGAGAATGATACGATATATATAGTCTGGTGATACTTACTACCTAAGAGAGGTGGCTTGTGCCATAGACTAGTCGATTTCAAAAACTTTAGAGTACAAGTCAGCAATAGCAATCTATTCAAGTTCGACATATAGAAAAAGAATGTATTTGGCTGTCCTCTTAAGTCACTTAAAAGGTTGCATGACATGTACATAACAAACCACGTGTGCATCACGAGATATCAATTTTACACCATATGCCAGCTAAAAGTAAAGAGTCAATAAATTTATGTATTTCAGCCTAATCTAAAACCAAAATCTAGTATGCTTCACTGAAGAAGTTGGATGGTGCGTGCTATCTTATCGGCCCATTGACTCTGCCAAGATCGGACTCGGAGAAGTCGTCCCCCGCACACATCGATTCCTCACTCGCACAAGCCAGGTCCTTCGACGTCAGCATCGCCCACAATGCCGGAAACATTGAGCACCAAGGACCATTCCTTGTTTCGTCAAGTGGTTCACCACTTTGAGATGAAGCAGTATAAGAAAGGTTGGCCTCTGAAGTGTCCTCGAACCACCTAGGCCCGTCTAACCACGTTTTACTTCACAGGCATCAAGACAGCAGACCAGGTCCTTCGCAAAAACCCCAAGCATGGCGATACCCAAGCCATGAAGGCTCTGAATATGAGCCAGATTGGGCAATTGGAGGACGCCTTTGCGCTCGCCAAGAAGGCACTCCAGAATGATATGAAGTCGCATATCACATGGCACGTGTACGGGTTGCTATTGCGCCAGGAGAAGAATTATGAGGAGGCAATCAAAGCATACCGGTTTGCTCTGCGTCTCGAGCCCGAATCGCAACCTATTCAGCGTGATTTGGCACTGCTGCAGATGCAGATGCGGGATTACCAGGGATACATTAAGAGCCGCAGTGCGATGCTGCAAACTCGTCCGGGCTTCCGCCAGAACTGGACGGCGCTCGCGATCGCTCATCACTTGGCCGGGGATTTGGCAGAGGCCGAGAAGGTTCTAACTACCTACGAGGAAACCTTGAAGGGTGCCATACCACATGTCGCCGATATGGAGAACTCAGAGGCCACCTTGTACAAGAACACGATCATCGCGGAGACTGGAAACCTCGAAAGAGCTCTGGAGCACCTCGAGGCTGTTGGATACCGATGCACCGATGTACTCGCAGTCATGGAGATGAAGGCGGATTACCTTTTGCGACTGGACCGCAAGGCTGACGCAGTGGCCGCATATACAGCTCTCCTGGAGCGCAACCCAGACAACTCGATTTACTACAATGGCTTGATCAAGGCAAAGGCCATCCCCGAAAGCGACCACAAGGCATTGAAGGCTCTATACGATGAGTGGGTGGAGAAGAACCCCCGCTGTGATGCTGCTCGTCGCATTCCTCTCGATTTCCTAGGAGGAGAGGATTTCAAGCAGGCCGCTGACGCCTATCTGCAGCGCATGCTGAAGAAGGGTGTTCCTTCACTATTCGTGAACATCAAGCAGCTTTATGTCGACGCGGCCAAGCGTGACGTGGTACAAGAATTGGTGGAGGGATATCTATCTGAAAAGGCAGCGAACGGCTCCGCGGAGTCGAACGGGGACAACACCGAGTTCCTGTCATGCACATACTACTTCCTGGCTCAACACTACAACTACCACCTCAGCCGCAACCTCCCCAAGGCCATGGAAAATGTCGAGAAGGCCATTGAATTGTCACCAAAGGCTGTCGAATATCAGATGACCAAGGCGCGGATCTGGAAGCACTACGGAAACCCAGAGAAGGCAGCAGAAGAGATGGAGAAGGCTCGTCTGCTAGATGAGAAGGATCGCCATATCAACACCAAGGCGGCCAAATACGTGCTCCGCAACAACGATAACGAGAAGGGTCTAGAACTTATGAGCAAGTTCACTCGCAACGAGACTGTCGGTGGCACATTGGGTGATCTCCACGAGATGCAATGCACCTGGTTCTTGACTGAGGATGCCGAGGCGTTCCTCCGACAGAAGAAGCTTGGTCTTGCCCTGAAGCGCTTCCACTCGGTTTCCAACATCTTTGATACATGGCAGGAGGACCAATTCGACTTCCACGGGTTCTCTCTCCGTAAGGGAATGATCAGGGCCTACGTGGACATGATACGCTGGGAAGACCGTCTGCGCGAGCATCCCTTCTACACAAGAATGGCTCTCGGCGCCGTCAAGGCCCATCTAATTCTTCATGACCAGCCGGATCTCGTGCACGGACCGATACCCAGCGGAATTAATGGACTCGATTCTACCGACGAGAACCAGAGGAAGAAGGCTCTCAAGAAGGCGAAGAAGGAGCAGCAGCGCTTGGAAAAGATCGAGTCCGACAAGCGTGCAGCAAGGAAAGCAGCCGCCGCTACTGCCAAGAGTGCTGATGGAGAGACCAAGAAGGAGGATGACGATCCCCTGGGCAACAACCTGGTCCAGACTCAGGATCCCCTGAAGGATGCCATGAAGTTCTTGACACCGTTGCTTGAGTCCAGCCCCCAGAACATCGAAGCCCAGTGCCTCGGGTTTGAAGTTTACTCCAGACAAAGTGAGTTAATTTGGTAGATCCTTAGACGGGACCCTCATGCTAATACGATTATAGACAAGCACCTCCTTGCCGTCAAGTGCCTTGTGGCCGCCCATTCCATCGATCCCTCCAACCCTACTCTCCACCTTCAATTGCTTCGCTTCCGCAAGTCTCTTGAGAGCCTTGCCGAGCCTCTTCCCGAGCAGGCTGCCGAGGTTGTCAATGCCGAATTTGACAAGCTGCTCCCAAAGACCCAGAAGCTCGAAGAGTGGAACGGGTCTTACCTATCGGCTAACAAGGACAGCGTCGTACACGTGCAGGCTGGCCTGTCTGGCCGTCAACTTTTGAACCCTGAATCCAAGCCGCAGTGCGAGCAAGACCTGCTTGCTACCCTCGATTCCTCCGAGATCACCATCGACGAGGCTGTCACTGCCTTGGACATTCTGAACAAGTGGGGCAGTGATAAGACTGCTTACGCCCAGAAGGCGAACAAGAAGTGGCCCGAGTCTTCGGTCTTCGAGCTGAACTGATTTGATACGAGTGGAGGACCGTGTGGACTCCGGCCCCCATCTCCGCTTCAATCGTGAGTTGCCTAGCTGCCTAGCAATATAACGCAGTGCCAGGAGTTGGGACAACAAAAGAAGGTTAAAAACATAGAGAAAGACACGGGATGAGCAAATATACTCTGATATTGGCCAATGCCAATTTGGAGTGAGTATACAGGTGCTGGGAGAATCCAATGTACCAGTATCTATTGCCAGTCAAGCAAGGACTAAACGTAGAACAATCTACCCCAAAATTCGAAAACACTATTTCCATCAATGTACATTTCTATAATGGGGACATCAAAACGCCTTTAATATACAAGCCGAGGAGGGAGTCGCAATATGCTAAACAAAAAGACCAACACATGCCATGCCGTGCTGAATGCCAGGGAAGAATCCATCCCGTAACCGTTATAGTATATAGCCAAATTCAAATTGTGAAGATCAAACAGAAAATGTTTTGAAGACCTCTTCACTCTTCTCCATCGATGTTACCCAAGATGGGCTTACGTCTGAGGACCTCGTCACTCTCGCCATAGCCGTAATCGACCCACATGCGCTTCCAGAAAGGCACGGGAGCCGGCCGCTCCTCGCCAAGAATGTATTCCTGTTGCTCAGCGATGCGTTGAGAGCGTGCTTCATCTTCCGGAGAAAGGGTGGCGCGCTGCATGCGCGAGGCAATGCGCTGATCAAGCACGATATCATCGAGCCACTCACGCTCCTTCACATTCCCGTCTTCGTCGCGCTTGTGCACTGACTTGTGCCACTCACTTTCAGCAGCCTCCATTACGGTCTGCTGCTCATAGTTGCGAGGGGGGAGGTCGGTGAACGAGTTGTCAGTAGAAAGGGTGGAGTCAACGCTGGCAGCAGTGGGCTCGGAGTCAGCACTGAGGGCGTTTTCGCGGTATGGCCGTGCGCTGTTCGCGAGGACAAGTGCGGCAACATCGCGCCCGACTTCCTCGGCAAGGTAACGTTGTGTGAGGAAGCGGTAGACTCGGATCGGGGTGTTTAGGAAGCCAAGGAGATGGGGGAATTCGACTGGGGTGGAGCTGTCGAAGGACTGGGGGAGAGTTTGGGGGAGGATGGCGGACGAGTATTCGCTGGGGTAGATGTATGCGGGAGTAGGACCGGCTGGCTTAGCAGGCTTCTCTTCTTTCGTCTCCTCTTCCTTCTCGGGCTCTTCGATCTTAGGCTCAGGGATCTCATCTTTTTTCTCTTCAGAGAACTCGGGAGAATCGATGCTCGCAATCTCGGGATTCGCGAGACTAGCGGGTTTCTCCGCACTGACGTCCTTCGATGTATCCGCCGTCAACTCCTCCGGAGGCGGGGCTGGCGCATCCAACGGGCCAAGCCATCCCTCGTGCAAGCCCCGGATATATTCCTTCCAGGTGTGTCGGCCGATGACCAAGTCGCCCTTGGGGCCCGGCTCATCAGTGACTCCAATGTGTTCCCGGGTAGCAGCAACGACTGCATCCACACCGACCTCTTCGACGGCCGAGCTGGGCTCTCCGGCCTTTCGGCGCAGCTTGCGAATGTTTTCCGCCGTGTTGGCTCTCACGTCGCCCTCACGTCGCCCTTCGACCACTGTGTAATCCAACGCCGCCGCCACCAGGATTGGTTTGACATATTCCTTGAAGTGATCCCGGGCCACACGCAGACCATCTCCTGGTGGCGCAGCCAAGTATACCGTCATTTTCCGGCGCATCTGGTCGATTGGTAGAGTTTCTTTCGAAATATGGGCCACGAGCTCCGACCACTTTTGTTGTACGCGACGCTTCTCCCGACGATCGTATATAAGAGCACCGGTGAATGATCCAGTGATAGTAAGGAAGATCATCCAGTTGCGAGAGGGCAGTTTGAACCGCATATTAGGGAGACCTGTTGATCATATCAGTGTTAGCAATTTTTTGGATCGTTCAAATCTGGGGAACAGAGACGTACCCATCATTTTGAACGCTGGGTTAGGCGGCTTCGGGGCCGCCTGGGGCTTGCCAGTGCCCGAGGGCACAGCAGAGCTCGAGGAGTCTGCCATTGTGTATAATGGAGAAATCGTCTATACGTATAAATAAAGTACACCCGGGGCATGCTCGATCGGGGAAAATTGTTTGCCTCGGGAATACCTTATCCCGACGTCACGTGGCCTTATATAAAACTCATCCGGGTTAGCATCGTCTGCGTCGGATCTTATGAGGTATGACATGTGAATATCATGTTGCTCAGCTTTCTGATCACTTCGGTGCCTTGGCCTTTTTTGCTTTCCCAGGAAAATTTCAATTATCTAGGCGAATCATGCAAGAAGAAACCACCTGGCAACAAACACAGCATCACCAGGAGGCCCTCACAGAGCTTTTTCCTTGCCGCAAAAACCATATCTGTCTGACAACAGGCATTGAAAATGAAAAGCATACGCAATATAACCCATTTAACCCTTGCAAGGATTAAGCAATGATACTGAAACCCCAAGATAATATGTAGTAGCCAAAAAACATTCGAACCTTAACATGACAAAATAAGCTTTCAGAATATACTTGGGAGCACTCTCTCGAAGCCAGTTTAATTTGCAAGCTTGCTCACTTTCGCTTTGACTCTTCAATGTCCGTCTTTTGAAAATGGAAGACGTCGATCATAAGCTGTCGGATCGAGCTGAGCAGTCTTTCATTGGATACGTTCGATATCACCTCGCTTGCTCAAGGTATACAATATATTCGCTGTGGAGCATCAGGCAATCGAAGACCTCGGGAGTTCTATGATATGAGCTTGCAGGCAGTCGGACAACCGACGGAACTGGGCCCTGAGGCATATGAAAGCCTGATGAAAGGGTCTTACGATGTGAGGTCCGCAGATGAATGTGGTGAGAAAAAGGAAGATCAGAGAATCACTTGGCAGAAGTTAATGTTCTGCGCAGTGATCTCATAGCTACACATAGTAAGCAAGGAGGACATGCTTCTCGTGACTGTGTGACTTTTAAATAGAAACTTTGTATTTTATTTTATTTTATTTTCCATTTCAGCTCAAGCTTCATCAATTCCAATTCTTTTGGGTTGTGATAAAATTATAAAATTATACAACTATACAACTATACAACTATTGTAAACCCAGAACCAAAAATATTAGGGTTGATCTAGCACGCCTCTATCCTGGTTTTTCCACCCTGGATTATGCGACACAGATCCAATCGATGCAGATCTAACTTGGAAGCCAAATAGAGAAGGTTTCCCATCGAAGCAGCCCCGCCTGCCCAGGTGTGCAATCTGGCTGACACGTAGCCCACATGTGCATGTACATGTGCGTGAGACAGGCTGCCACTCCTTTCCATCTTCTGTCTTGCTTGAACATTTAAAGAAAGGCCGCACCCTCTATAATAAGCCGAAAATTAGGTGAGACGAAAGGCAAATGCCGTGCAACTGTTGCGACTTTCCCGGCCATTCTACAACTATTTCTTCAAAAGCTGGCATACTACTACGCCTTCCACAGACACAAGTAGGACTTGATTAAAATCAAGTGATATCCCAACCGCCATGGAATCTGGAACCTTTAATGGCGCATGTTCTCCCAATCCGTGGATTTTTCCAATTCTTTTCGCTACATTTGGTATTGCATTCCATCTCGTTATACGTCCATTCGAGGTCGATTATCAAATACTTCGGTTCTTTTGCGTTTATATTTTGGTATGGGCTATATTTGTTGGGGCTTACCGTCAATATTGTGACTTCAGTATTGTCGCAGCTGCTGGATGGGCATCTTTGGCAACTTTGTGTTTTAATGCGGGCTTGACGCTCAGTTTGTGTGTATATCGTGCATTTTTCCATCGATTGAAGGGATATCCCGGTCCGTTTGCGGCGAGATTAAGCAAAGCCTATGCTTTCTCATTGCAGTGGAAGAATTTCCAATATTTTTCTGAACAGATTGATCTGCGTCAGAAATATGGAGATTACGTTCGTACCGGTAAGACAGCCCAATAAGATTCCATTCCCCAGAAGCATGGCTAATTATATTGGTGCCTACTTCTGAAGGTCCTCGGGAGATTACCATTTTCCACCCTTCAGCAGTTCCCCTCATTTATGGCCCACAGTCCCCTTGCAAAAAGTCAGCTTGGTACCACCAAGTCTCCAGGCACGACAATGAAACATCTATAAACACTGCTAGAGACCCAGCATCACACCGTCTTCGGAGACGAGCATGGGATCGCGGGCTGAGTCTGAAAGGTGAGCGTGCTGGACCCCAATAGACACCTCAGCATCTGATATACCTAGCCCTTGCAACATATGAGCCGCATGTCAATTTCAAATCCAGCGTGCTGGTTAGGCAATTAAAGTCTCAAGTGAACCAGCCACTTAACATTGTGCAGTGGACAATGTTCTATTCGTTCGACGTGATGGGCCTCGTTGGCTTTGGCGAAGATTTTAATCAACTTGAATCTGGCGTAGAGCATTACGCTATCAGAGGTGTGCATGACCAGATCTTCATGATTGGGCTTTTGAATCAGATTCCGTGGCTATCCTATCCGTTGAATGCACTCCAGCCGTTGAGTGGGGGATTTGGCCTTTTTAAAATCTACTGCAACAACATGGTCAAGAAATCCGCACTGGCAAGTTAGAAGGAATCCTTTCGGGAACTCACCCAAAGATACTGATCTTGCAGAGCTGACTATGGTATCATCCTTATAGAAATACCAGAAGTCGAACGGCGATACACCGCGAGACGTGATATCATGGCTTCTGAAAGCGCAATTTGAGAACGATCGATCGGCTCCTCCTACAGCCAAAGCTCTTGCCGAGGATGGAAATGTCCTGATATTGGCCGGCAGGTAGGGAATAAGTAATCTACGAACCGTTTAGAATCTAACAATTTGATAGCGACACCACTGGAAACACCCTTGCATGTGTTATATACTATCTAGTTGCCAACAAACACGTTTACAAAAAGCTTCAGCAGCAACTTGATGATATTTTCCCAAGCCGTGAAAGATCCTACAAATATGCCGAAGTTCGAAGACTGTCTTATCTTGATGCAATCTTGAAAGAAACCATGCGATTGAAGCCTGCAGTACCAAGCGGCCTACCTCGTGTCACTCCACCGGAAGGCCTACAAATAGGTGACACCTGGGTCCCCGGTGACATCAACGTCTTGGTTCCCCAATATGCACTCCAAAGGGACGATCGATTCTTTCACAAAGCTGCTGAGTTTTTACCAGAGCGATGGTTAGAACAGAGAGACAATTTGATTTTTGACGAACAAGCATATTTTCCGTTTCAAATTGGTAAGTGCCACCTCGGTCGAATAGTTCAGAATTTGTTCATGGTTAACATTACCAGGCCCTCGTGGATGTGTTGGCAAGGAACTTGCGATGATGTCCATGCGCATATTCGTAACGCATATTGCTATGAATTTTGATATAGCATTTGCCCCCGGGGAAGATGGCAGCAAATTCGATGCATGTGCTCGGGATTATCTGGCAATCGATGTTGGGCCATTACACTTGGTCTTGTCTGAACGGACACCGCTTTAGGTAGACTTTGGCTCCAACATCCTCTTCTCTGTTCTTGCGCGGCGGGGTGGGGCAATGCATCATATTAAATGAAGTATTTCATTCAGTTTGGTAGCCGTTCATCACATTATCTTTTTTTTTTTTTTTTATAAAGCCAATGATATAAACCTTAGTACCAGGGGCTATGATATCATGGGCCACCCCGCTCTTCGACGAATCTGGCCTCGGGAAATATTATCAGAGTAAATATCCTCATAACCACAGTGAATACCTTCTTCATTTTAAATTGCTGTATTACTTGTTTATAAGACATCTAACTCTGCATCCCGTGTGTTCGTTCTATCCAGTGCACCCATCATTCCCGTCAGAGATATCCTTTTTATTCCTTCCCCACCATGGCTTATCGACTTACGAGGAAGGACCTCCAAGGGACATTCGAGGATTCGGCTACCATCGTGGCCGCCAGAAACCCAAACTCAGCTGTCCTGGAAGCTCTGTTAAAACATTATTTTACTCACCTTGAGTCCGTACCCACTGGTCGTGTGGACCGAAGTTTAGAGGCATGTTCTCCAAATGCCAATACCATGGGCCCTATATACGGTACATACGAATCTCCCTTGACTGCCGCCATTAGGGCAAATGTACCCGAGAATGTCCGGGCACTGCTAGCCGCTGGTGCAGATCCCACAGGCACCACGCTGCATGATTTGTCTGACTATGCCGTGCGATTCATTCGTGGCCGAGACGCTAAAACCGACATGTCGAGTTTCGCTCTCTGTCCTCCGCGGGAACAAATACTGGCAGTGGCAGAGGGCAAAGGAATTACACAGCAGACTCAGCCCTTGACCCAAGCCGAATTGGATGAGCGGAGCAAAGGTTTCCCACGTTTTTGGACGGAGCCGAATGTTCCTGGTCAGCGATTGCGGCTATCAAAAGCCCTCACTGCATTGGAAGTGGCTGCTGGGCTTGGAAATGAAAATCTGTTTAGACTGGTTCGCGATGCAGGAGCGGATGAGTCCGCCTGGCTAAGTACCTCGGAGGCTAGTCGAGCCGAGTTTGACGATACCAAGCCATCGTTCATCAGCACTTCCTCTCCCGTCCACGAAGCTATTAAAGCTGGTCAGCCTGCAATGCTTCATAAATTGCTCCACGTGTATCACTACTCTCCCAACTACCTCCCCCTGGCGACTCCAACAGCCGCGCTACCACCACTCTCTTTTGCACTTCTACGGTGCGACCCACACAACCCAGATATCTGGGCGTGTATCGTGCACCTCCTCCAGCACCCTGACCTTGATCAACACCTACGCTCTCCTATTTTCGACATTCACCCGCTTCACTTAGCAGTTGCCCGTCATGATCCGGACCTCCTATCCCGCCTCCCTATGCCACTCTCTACGGCAGGGACCACAGCATTAGGACACAGCCTACTCCACATTGCGTCTCTTCCCTTGACATCCGACTATATCGACCAGAAAAATTTAGATTCTGTCCAGAGTATTCACTGTGCCCGCACTCTCGACTCTCACTGGCTATCGCACGCATTCCCCAGTCCCATGCACTTGAGTCCGAGCAATGGCACCGGGCTCACGAGGCCCATTCCAGGCCAACATATTAGCCCAACAATTCCACTCACCTCGCTAGAACAAGAGGCCCAGCTTAGTACCCTACACCTTCTTGTGCGAGCTGTGAGTCTCGATGTGCGTGCCCAAGATGTTGATGGAAATACTGCTTTGCATTACCTGGCTGCCACGGTGAATGTAGACCCTAGGGCTTTGCAGTTGCTTAGAGATGTGGAAGGTGGTGAGGAGGCCTACAATCACAGCAGAAACGGAGTGGGCTTGACGCCGCGTTCCCTCTGGGAAAGTAACAAGGCACAATCGTCTCAAGGGTTGGGCTAGAAATGAGTCAGTGATCGCAAATTGTAAATTTATACAAAACAAAACAGTCATATGAAAAGAATGTTGTAAATTTGTAAAGACGCTGGTATCATTCGGTTCTTCAGGAACAGGGGGTATGTATACGTAAGGGCCGTAATCTAAGCTTCCACTCGGTGGGATTATAAGGTGAGGCTTACGGGCCGACCCGGCCGGGGTGGGCCTGACCGGACTTGGTCGGCTGGCACGGACGGAAACATTTTCAACCTTGGAAGTCTCCTTGATAATCGATGCAGTCCAAGAATATCATCACATTTCGTGAGCACATATAGCCATGCTATATAGCAAAGAGAAAATTCCTAACATGGGGCAGGGGTTTCGTCTTCGATACTTACGATGACTGCGTGGATGACCTGAGGCAAAAGAGATCATGGAGGGAACATTGATCTTGTAAATGAGACACCTGGCTTACCACCACTCCCCTTCAACTTTATACTTAAGTTCTTCTCTTCCTAGACCACTCCGCAGTTTATACAAGAATCCGATTGGCAGCGTCTTTATAATTGGAGAAGGAAAATTATTAGCCATATCGTCTAACCGTAAGAGACAAGTCTTCCTTCGTAGCCGTTTTATATGAGCCTCTAGCCCGAGGTAAAATCCTTTTCTTGATATCTGAAATATTATTGACCTCCAGGGCCGATACCTGTGCATTTGGTCTATTTTTATCTACATACCTTTTAAATACCTTCCAATGGCAGTTTGGCCGAGTGGTTAAGGCGCTCGCCTGCTAAGCGAGTCCCTTCGGGGACCAGAGTTCGAATCTCTGAGCTGTCGAAAATCTTTTCTTTTTCCCCGTGTGATTCACGAATGATGGATGCACTTCGTTTTTGCTGGCAGGGTGGCATAGTACTGGTAGAACGCCACCATCCTAACTGCCGCTTTACGAGGGCTCTCAAAGTCACGCTCGGTGAGTAAATTCCGGCCCGGTCAGGCTCAGTGACTGTGAAGAGCTTCTAGAGAAACATTCCTCATCGACATCCGCCAAAAGCATATCGATCGGTACTAGCTTCTCTCGAAAATCCTCTTGGGTCGCTTTTTTTTGTTCGTAGGAGTCCAACGCTGAGTGTGTATTTTGTCCTATTTGCGAGCTCCTGGATTTGCCTTGCTTGGTTCCTCAGCCCGTTCCAGACTGCATCTCCTGCCTCCTCGTGGTCTCTGTATAGGTGATCTATTGGAAAGCTTACTCCAGATTGAGGCCCAGTCCGGCAGGCCCAGTGTTATGCCAAATACTGGTGTTGGTCAATGACTTGAGATTGATTAGAATAGCACTCGCCTTGAAATCAATCGATTGTCGAATTGCGGACATGTATCTCAAGCTCAGCTTGACCACGGATGTAAAGCTTGATGCTCGGAGGAAAGAAGTTAGAGTGTACAGACCGCCGAGAGGCATCGGCTACAAAGGCGTACAGCAGCTAGCCCTTGGGAGTTCAGTATTGGATGTCTGAATGCCGGCCTGATTATGCATAACTGCATGAAGTAACTAATACATACTTGGGCAAGCGAGCAGGTCACCCCAAAACCCGATGGATTACAACGTTATATCTCAACAAAAATTGTCTTACACAAATTTCCCTGTACTCAAATGCTTTTGAGATGATAACTAACTACTCAAGACAGTGTGGATAATTTTCATAGCTTGGTGATTAAGATATACTCATTTCTAGCTCCCAATAATGTAATTTTCGACACCGTGACAATGTAACAGTTAAGACTTTCTTGTTTAGCGTTGAAAGACCCAGCCTTATCGAGAGCTATCCCTTGACAACAAAATAAGAATTCAATGTGGTTGCTGAGATATAAGGTTGTAAAATATCGCATTCACTACAGTGTCTTGGGGTAGCCAGCTCGGTTGTGAAATACGTTAACTATGGCATGTGGTTTGCTTAGTTAATTTGCTTCCAGACATAGTGTTTAGATCTCACCTCCCCACGAGCTAGCTTCCTCCTTCTCTCCATCTTCGTTTGTTTGTCTTCGTCAATGGATCTTGTTGTGAGTTACCCTTTACAGTAGCAGGCATTTGCTCTCCCACTAGTCGTGGATGTTGTTTAAAAGCCATAAAATATTTAAAGTATATTGGAGAGAAAATTGTAGAGAGTGCAACTATCTAGACAATATTTTTGACAGCATCTTCGTTCAAGCATCCGCAGTGAGACCTCAGGATGACCGAAAACTATTTTTTGTATATAGCCCAGTGCACCTCCTGCTTCTTGATGTTACCGTCGCACTGCGTGGCTCCCTTGCCCTGCATTTTACGGCTCCGTGGCCTCAGTGCTTCGAAGTCTATCGGATAATATCGACGACATCCTGAGCACCGACATATTCGTCGACATTTCCTTTACGACCTTTGGTAAATCCGCGAGCGCTATAATGTTAAATTAGTAAATCCACAAATGCAACCAAATGAACGACATAAGGAGAGGGAGCATCATTATCAAAGAATTTTCCTCCAACCATTGGCACACCCAAGGCGTCGAGACCTAGTAAGGTGTTCAACCATGAATCATTCTTCTTCGGAGGAACAGGCGCAAATTTGTTCTCCAAATCAGGAAGAGTGTTGTCAATGACAAGTGCGGCATCAGCGACGAGTGCGCTCTTGAACTCGGCGTACATCTGAACGTATCATTTGTTAACTAAATCGTGATGAACTGCGGGAAAGGGATTGAGAAATAGTAAATACCTGATGGATCTTGACAAAAACATGTGTGTCCATATTCCAACACCCATGGCCCTACACCGCAGATACCCAACCTGTCATCGGACTGCAAGACGTACCAAAAGGTTGCTGATGGTGAGGGCTGCTCTGAGATCTAGAAGAAGGCTGGTGGTATCACTCTCGCTCAGTTCCGTAAGTGGAACCCGACCATCGATGCGAGAAACGTACATTGAGAAAAGAAAAGTCAGAAGTGCGTATTCATGGAAAACTAAGTTTGATATAAGCTGAAAGCAATAAAGAGAGTTAGACAAATCGACAAGGGTATATCGCACATAATGATACGTGCGGTTCGAAACTCAACAAGCACCACGCGAAGAACATCAACATCAACATTATCTTCATTTTTATCTTCAAGTCCACCACCACCACGAATCATGAGATTTCTGTCTCTTGATAACAGACGATAACAGACTATCCCTCCTACCAAACGGATTGCGCTCATTCCTCTTCCTCTGCCTCGTAAGTTGCTGCACAGCTGCCTCAGCACCGATCCTTTTACCAGTAATCGTGATATTAAAAGGTCACTTGGCATCATCAGTGGCAAACCCCAGCTCATTAACCATCATATCAATAGCCCGATCGACGGGGTCAGGAACTTGCGGTCGATGAATAGGCAAATGAAGGGCAGGCAATGAGGCAGCCGATGGGAAATCCGGAGGAGGAGATCTGGAAAGAGGGGGACTTTGCGAGTACACCAAGCTGGGATCGAACCCCATCTCAACTGGCGTATATGGCTCTGTGATCAACGTAGTCGATGATGACCGATCAAGCACTAGTGTGGGAACCGGTGGTACTGATGGGTAATTTCCATCCAAATTGCGCAGGATGGTGCTATACTCCGACATTGAACGCTCGGTCGAGACAAAGAATCCGCCTTTTGTTCTTCGAAACCACAGGCATGTCGCTGGCGAAGCGCCTTCGCAAATGCAGTTTGACGCTGTCGACTGGTGCGTATAGGACTCAAGTAATGAGAGCTGGGCTTTGCGGGACTGGAGTTGCGTTCTTGGATTTTGCTGGAGCGTGAGATCGCTTCTTTAAGGAATAACGTGTTTGGTGGGGGTAGGGTAGCTTGGTTGAGATTGCCGACTGTTCAACCGCGCTAGCGGAGTGATTTTGGTATTTCTTTTTTGTGATCCATGGGCCTCGGAGGCGGCGCAACTACGTTTTTTAATAGGCCAGTCACGAATATTTCATGGTGGGATGGTGTAATATCAAAAGGAATAGCTTCAATTCGATTGTTGGGTATGAGAAGATCGGGGAGATCGGGAAGATCAGTGGGGACCAACACTGCTGATGTGGGTCGCCCACGGGACAACATATTACATAGATGGAACCAGTGGAGTTGCCGGAGTTGCCGAGGTATGGGGATTGGATGATTGAAATTGTGGATACTTGGAGTACAATACGATACAGAACTAGTGCAGGCGGTCAACAAGAGTATGTGATATGGAGTTTTGATAAACTAGTCACTATTCGCCCCTGTAGACATAGCTCCTTTCTCATTAGTCTTCACTGCAAAATGTACAACTGAACAAGAAATTAAGGAAGCCATGACAACCTATACATTTTCACCATTGGAATCGTTGCTTTGTATCGGCTTCAGATCTTAAGAAAGCTAGGTTATTCCGATATTCGGCTAACATAAAGGTTTTCATTATTCAACATTAATATCGGAGAATGTGTAGATAGTGAAGAGGGGAACTCTCAAGGCAGTATGCTCTGAGGGATACGGGTCGATTCAGCACTCCTAGTTTAGCTTTATACTCAACTTTGCATGTAAAGGAACCCTGGTACACTGCCCAGGAAGTGGATTCAGAGAGGGGTAGGAGTGTGTGTTCTCAATCTGTGTATATCTACTACTTGCAACCTTATAACCCAACGCTTACATAACAAAGTCATAGCATTCCAAAATAGAAGAGAGCGCAATGCGTAGTGAAGAGCCTGTTTCCCCACTGCAATAGGTAGCTATATCCATTGTTCTTGTCCTTTATCCTTTATATAAGTGTATGGCAATGTACAAATTTGACGATTTTAACAGCGGTCCAACCAACCTAGAGAGAGCTGTGGCATGCACAAAAGCGCGAGAATAACAAGCAACATGCATGTGGTGCAGAGCCCTACCTGCAAAGTCAGAAGCAGATACTAGGACGTGGAAAAATACGGAGCTTAACTGTAACTATTGGCGACCACTTGAAGTCTATCGGTGTGTTAATGCAAATCGATTGTCTCGTAATATATCTTTAATTGTTTACACATTATTAATCTTTTGAGACAGCGATGCCCATCTCAAAACCAGACCCAAATCATTTTCATTAGGTTCCATGTCGAATTTCTCAAGGAAATCACCCTGAACACTGTGCATGTAAAAGCTGCCGTGGCCGTTACTACCACCACCATTCCTATTTGCTTTGCCAAATAGTAGGTAGTAATTTCCCCGGCTCCGGCATCTTTGGGAACTGACACTGATATGGAAGCAAATAAGGTAGTAATGATCCCCGTATGACCGACAGCATGAATCAAAAGGTACCTCAGTTCCCAGCGTTTGGGTTCCTCCGACCATCGAAGTCGAAGCAAAAGCAGACCCAAACCCGGAAGACTAAGAAAGGAAGATGTAAATATCAATGCCTTGTATTTGCCGGTGCTGCTAAGGCATTAGTCGAATGTGTGGCTTCCATGTGTAGTATTAATTTGTAGCATCCTCAGGCTCTTCCTACCGTTATATCAGAAACCCGCAGCAGATACAACAATGCATCTAGCCGTTATAGGAATATAGGTGACTCCACTGAAGGAAGCTATAGCGCTTCTGGCTGGCGTAAAAAACTCGCTGATATTGGAAAGAAGCTTTTGGATACTTAGTTGGGGGGTTTGAACATGTTTGGGTTAACTTACACCAAAGGTAGCAAAGCAAGCAACAAACTGCGTCAGATAAATTTCTCAGATCCGGTTATGCTTAATAACATTCAAAGACACCAACGGAGCTTTGGTCCAGAATCTTTCATTCTATCCATACGCAACGGCAGGCAAAATAACTATCGCAAAAGTACCAGCCATTGCAGTACTATCTCCTCAAAGGGAATAGCACAGAACCGTAAATGCGGTGACAAGATTTCTAATGAGAAAACTTAGGCAAGTCCATCTTGCGTTTTGTTTGAGCTATTATTTAGTGCTGGTAGTCTCCATATGGCGTAAAAAAAAATGAAGAGTAGGCCGAATGGGACTGGAACGAGGAAGCACCTGAATAATGCATATCCAACAGCCGAAATATAATAAGCAGGAGCACCAACCTACCATCTCTAGGAAACGATGTCTACAAGAGTTCCATCAAAAGAGGTTCCACAGCTGAATCCAAAAGATAACGCCATGCCATAATAACTTCGCAGCATCATAACTTATCTCGGCGAGGCCAGATTGAGGGTAGAACGACTCTTGGGGAGGATTTAGCACGTCATATCAATACAACGGGTTGTTTGGAACCTACGTAATGGTAGAATCGAACGAGAACATGAGATAGGTTATCAGTAGCACCAACTTGTACCCATATGCATGAATGAGTTTTCCGTACTGACATTGTCGGACATGTAACCTGGTATAACCTTCGCACGGCGCTCAAACACTAACGGAAGCGTATCAATGAGTCCAAGGCTATAGCCTGAAATAAGCCAGGGCCCCAATGAAACTCGCTTGAAGTCGGTGGCAATTCCGCCGTGTGTAGCTAAGACAAAAGAATCGTCTGCTGCCGCGAGAAATATTCCTATCGGTAACTTCTAGTTAGCGAGAGCACTCTAGGGAGAATTTGAAAGCAGGGCTGAGCCTGACTACCTAGAAAAGCAATTGAAATAAAGACGCAGTCGATATGGGATGCTTCTTCTCTCGCTTCTGCATCCTGTTGTGTTGAGCCGTGGCACTGTATTCCGAGAATAACTGACGCCCAGCCAGTGGCGTATTTTCATCGGTCATTTCAAGATTGGCGCGGTGGAGGATAGTAGAAAGACCTTGTAAATTAACGAATGAGATAAGCAGATCCACCAAGGCAGGAATTGAATGGCAGCAGTTTCGTGTAAAGACCAGATTACCAAAAATTGTAGGTACTAACCCGTACCTTACATAGATTACCATTTATTACCCTCATCATGCACCGTCCACCTAAACCAGCTATGCCAGAGTCCATAACAAATGGTAATTTATAGAACGGGCCGATTACGGGCCTTTTCGTTACCGTCTTTTAGCATTCCACTCAGTACCGACAAACTTACTTCCGCCTAAAGAGTCCGTAGTAATGTGATTCTTTGGTCATCAAAGGTGGATTAAAGAACGACCCTCAGCTCCCCTCAGCTCCCTCAACTTCTCTCAGCTGAATGTGGCGTTCTTAATGGTCGGCGTTAGTCTCTTGGCGATCCAGCAAAGAATTGCGCAGTGGTGTGTACTGCCGAGGTGGTCCAGCCGATTTCTAGAATGACTGCAGGTACGTATAGGTATCTATAGGTTGATACAGTGAAATCTCTCATTGGTCGCATGATCTGTGCCTTTCATAGTAGTAGTCTAGCTCTCTCCTTCCCTCTCTACATCTTCATACTTCGTACAATAGAATAATACATTGTGCTGTCTCATCTAGTAGCCTATAAATCCCAATAGAATGGATGCAAAGAACAGAAAGGTGGCGGTGTGCGTCGTGACAACAGCTGCCCATGTGTCTCGGGGACCGGGGACATGGAAATGTACATGCATGCAACCGATTCTTTGCTTGCGTGACTTATCGAAATAAACCCAGCAAGTCGAACAAAATTACAGATCACAATGACCAACCCCTGTCGAACCTAATGCGATCTATTCTGATGGAAACTTGGGATCTGGAATCGAGGATTCGTAATTGAAATAAGTGAAGGCCTTGTAGCTCTTCCCTTCCCTTCTTTGGCCTTCGGATTCACCCAAAAATTACGATGGATTTAGACTATGAAATCCCGCTGGCTCCCTTCCTACCTTTACCGATCTCGAAGATAGTCGCCCTCCTCTTACTCATCACCGCCGCATTTTGTTTTCGTCGAATCTGGAATCCTCAGGACAGTCAAACATGTCGGCAAACACCCCTTCGCTTCTCAAAGAAGTTGACCTTTATTCCCTCCGCCGTGAAACCGATTGCCAAAGAATCAGGATTCCAAGAGCTGGAGTTTTATAAAAATCTCTTTTTCAGACTGCAAAATGTGGAGCATAATCCGGAGGTTTTACCACTTGCACGACAAGCAATCTTGTTCTTATTGTCCGAAGGATTGAGCGAATATACAAAAAGAGAGTCTCATCCCAGTATCCTATCAATGGAGACTTTCAACAAAGAAGAACTTTCCCAGTTTCTCCACAAACATCAGAAGGATGTAACGGATCGATACGCACAGTATATCGCGCAGAGAAAAGTGGGCGGCCCCCGGCAATTGGTTCGTGACCGACAGGATGCAGAGTCCTGGCTGAGGAAGATTGCACCGTTGAAGCTGGTTGATGGCGCTTGGCTGGGCCACTTGAACAAAATCACTTTACCATTTGCCTTGCGTCCAATCATGAAGAAAACTTGGCAGGTGTTCACTGAGGAGCTCGGTGATGGTGATCTTCACCAGCATCATGTTTACATCTATGAGGACCTCTTAAGGACTTTTGAGCCAGAATTACCCTCCCCAACAACAAAGGAAATTCTTCATCCTAGATGGAATTTCAGCTGTATCAGGTATTGGAGAGCGGCTGCAGCTCAATTGATGATAGCCAGGTTTTCGGAAGACTTTTTCCCGGAGATACTGGGGTTCACCATGCACTTCGAAATGCTTCAGCTGGATACAATGCAGGCAGCAAAGGAGCTACCAGAAGTTGGACTTGATCCTTACTATTTCATACTTCATGTGTCCATTGACAACAGCCATTCCGGTCATGCCGCTATGTCGATGGAATGCGTGGTGGACTACATACAAAAAATATCGGAAATGGAAGGCAAAGAAGCCGCCCATACTGCGTGGCGCCGGATTCAGGCAGGATATATCTTGAGTGAATGGCTGGGTTCTGAGGGTATTCAGACGGCAGAAATCCCTCTCAATCTTGATTCTATGCCCTGTGACCAGCTTGAATCCAGAGTGGGTAAGATATTCCGTGCCAAAGCTCAGGCTGCGCAAGGAATACACGCCGGATGCAAAGCAAATATTGGCAATCGCTCTCTAGATGACTGGCTGAGCCCAAGTAGCTTGTTAGACGAGAAATGGCAAGCGAATTTTCTCCAAGCTCTAACCGCCTCCAAGCCATGGATTTATCCCGGTGACAGCAACAAGAGCAGGCTGGTGAAAGAACTCCGTTGGGGAGGCAAAATGTTCGGCACCTTTACAAGAGAAGAACTTAATACTCTGCAACAATGGATTGATTCTTTACGACCACACCGCATTCCATTTTATTTTGAGTTTCTTGGTCTTTCAGAGGCCGCCCATTGCCAGGGCTGCAGCAACTCGAATATACCCCAGGAATTATCTGGATCACCAAATTCCACACACCTGACAGATGAGAGTGCACCTTTGCTCCACCACCGGCAACTATCAATGCAGCGGGAATTCAGTGCAGGTGATCTTGATTTACCGCGGTTGCTGCCTATTTGGTTCTCTCAGTGCAGTCTCCTTGAGTTGTTTGTATACGCTCCGGGGAGGACCGCAGACCCAATGGGTTGCGCAGTGGTGCGTTTGTTACGAGCTCAACTTGGATTTGAGATAGAGCATACAGTGGTCACAGGGATAAATGAGTCACACACGGAAGAAGACAATGGCCTTGTTGGAATTGGCCTGGAGATGATTAAACGAGCCTCTCTCCCCGTTCCCCCTGACCTGGCGATGCTCCTCGCTCGTTGGCCCTCTAAATTCGCAGACAAGATGCTTCAGCTATCTTCAAAACCCCTCCAAAATTTGGGTGTTCTACTTGGTATCTCCGCGGCTCTAATTGAGCTCCAGGGGGTCATTGCAGACGCCCCTAGCGCTGGACTACTTTCGTCAGAAAGTTGCGTCCATTTGCAAGTTCTATTCCGTCGACAATACCATTATTTGAAAGAGTGCCAGCAACACATATCTACAGATGGGAGTTTGCTCACGGATTATTCTCATGGGTATGCTATGGCAAAAGCAGAGATTAACGATTGTCTTAAGGTCAATATGCAGAAATAGAGGATATGTCAAGAAACGAGATGTTGCATTGACTACCTGTGTTTTTACGGTTGAAACATGTGGCCTTTTTACTATCCTGTATTTTGCTTACTGATAATGTCTGAGTAGATTTTCAAATATAGACTCTTATTGTTTTTTGAGAATATTAAAATTGCGAACCTAACTAGTACGCTCGCTATACCTTAATTTCTATCAGTTGATTTACCGCTTGGTCCACTCCTTTGCGCTGGCGGAAATGCCCTCTCTATGTCATGAATCTTGATTCCCAGTTGTACTGTCAGAATTAACTTGCGCACGCTTCAAAATTAGGGGGTATAGCATCCCATAACTTGAAAATTCCACGTTACAGTTAGATTTGTGCATGTTGAATCAATTCACGCTGGTTTACCAATTAGCTTCACCTGTGTTGTCTCATGATGTATTGGGGGTAACCAACCCCTTCACATAAAGGATTCATAGCATAGGATCGTCAATATTTCGCTGACGTCGATCCCGAGTCTGACAAGCATGAAGGAATTCACAAATGGGGCGAAGGAAAATGCAGGAGTATTCGCAATATTAGTTGTGTTTAGTTATGTGGTCTGCCTTCTCACCCATCTGGAGCATGTCTTCATGTATCTTAGCTTCTCTTCTTTTCTATGCTGATAATACTGCAATGTTGTCACCCATGCCCTCCGATGGTAACCTGATTCTCTAGACAATTACTTCCTACAGCTAGTTCACTTTTAGGCATACTAGAGCTTTCTCGGTCTGGATTGCGTGCAGGGACAAATATCGAGCAGCATTGGGAGAAGTATTCAACCGAAAATGTGATCCAAGCCCACCTATGCGTTGGGCAAGTAATCTTTCAACGCCGAAATTGAGGGGGTAAAGAAGTATTCACCACCATGCGGAATAACCAGCCTGTCCAACGCAACAGTTTTATCGTGGACCTGGGGACCAAGTTTCTCCAAGTCCGAGTCAGGGAAGGGAATCCGAGGAGCGTCGTCGTACTTGGCATTGATCTGAACACCTGTACTCTTCCCATTCCGGCTGGGATGAACTTGGCCAATAAGAGGGTCAATTCCCTGGCTAGCCCCTCCACAGTGCTTCGCCATATCCGTTGGACCATTAGAAGCATTTGCCCACCCTGCAGAGCGTCAGAAAATACAACACTTTCAATTTTCATGAGAGGCACATACGTTTTTGCTGCGTGACGAATCCATTCTCAATGCTGCTCTGGTAACTGACGAATAGCAGGCCACGTTCATGCTGTGTAGATCCACCTGCCCGTTCATCATTAGAGCACCATGGCCCATAAGGAATTCCTCGGCGCATCATTACGTGCTTGGTGTAACCGGGATAGTCGTCCCGAGGACCGGTCTTGCGCATATGAGAGGCATAAGGACATCTCGTCTGATCCGCGGGGTTATAGTTGAAGTCATCGGTATTATTCATCGTCTTCAACGCGCTCGTTCCAAACTGTCCTTTGTTTCTGGCCCAGTTGGGGTCCTCCAGTGGATGAAGCTCCATTGGTGCACCTAATACGTCGCACTTGATCAGTATCATGAGTATTGGGTTAGGAGCAGAATATGATTCCTGCATGGGGATGCTAACCATCAGGCCATCGTCCCACCAATCGCGAGGAAAACAGACCCATCTGATCCATTGACTTGTCAGACCACTCGATCGGATTTCCCTGTTCAATGGCCTTTCTCGCCTCTTCCGTAGCAATAGGGCAATTCGCAGCACACCAACTAGGTACACAAAGTTAGTATACTTGAACCAAGCCCACAGATATCGATCTTACAATAGGGGTACTTACTGGTAGAACTCGGGAACTAGCTGTTCATAGATTCGAAAGACCATGAAGCTACCGTCCTTAGCCCATTCGGGATGTTTGCTTTCATCGCCCTCATGTCCGACAAAGATGACTCTGAGATATCACAGAATTAGATCTGACAGACCATATAATAAGATGAGATGATGATTGCTTACCCGGGGTCTATCGGTGCCATTCCTCTGTTATCCTTCGTCTTCGCAATGTCGTCCATTCCCTTAATGATGGGCTGGCTAATACCATCCACCCATCCGAAGCTATGACCATAGATGTTAGCAGTTACGCCTATATTCGCACGGAGTTTGGTAAAACGGACTGCTCAAGATGATTGGCGAAGACTTGACCATCCCTGGTATAGACTTCTTCAATACTTTGCTTGTCATTGCCGACATTGAACACCCAATCAAATGTCTTTCGGGTCATTTTCTCAATACTCGGGAGACTGTCACCAGCCACGGTGAGGACACCGTCAATTCCACCACTACTGGGCTTGAATTCATTGACCCAGTCCTGCTGAGGATCGAGACCTTGGTGATCTTCGGCTGGCTCGCCATCCGACGGGAAAGTCATATCTTTAAACTGGCCACCGTTGAAGATGTCATCGTTGAACCTTTCCGCCCCAAGCTGTGAAAAATAAGTAAGTGTATCTCATATAACTATTTTTCCAGTACTTACCTTGGCCAGGCCATTAGCCGAGAAAGCAATATTGATCGATACTAAATGGATGATACCATTCAGAGTACCATCTGCTTTCTTTTTGTAGATATCGTTACGGTTCTTCAGGGCTATATGGGCTGTAGTGATAAAATCAGCCATCATTGGTAGTCCCTTCTTGAATTCTTGCACATTGGTAATTCGAAAAAAGACGAATTTTTCGGCCTTCTTAGGCAGGCGAGGCCTGATTGCGTCAGTTCAAGAGACAATCCATATTCCGTTCCTGAGAGCCTAATGGTAAGAGTAGCTTTTTGACTTACCAAGTATCTCCCTGGATGTTCTTCTGGTCTGGCATCTTGTCCGATTGATGATTCGGTACGTCGTCGAGCTATCTTTTCCCCTGTTTCAAGAGGCAATTGATCAATGGTATAACGGTGGGAAACCAGAAAAGCTTTATAGGACAGAGTTGAGATATGTCAAAACATAGTCCCTTGGATAGCGGTGTAAGGAAGTCTCCCAGAAAAAAGAAATTCGGAAGAGGCGGGGGCCAGATGCATAACCATGCTATGCTGATGCTGCCGTAGATTGTTTCATTCGTGCGGGGTTTAGCTTGCAGCGAATCGCAACAAAGACGATTACGATTCTAGATGACCCTGATGAGATAGATCATCGCAGAGGTATGGATTTTAAGTGGATGCTACCTTACCAATCCAGCATGTACCAATCATATACTGTGGCGTTCCATATTTGAGCTGAGGTACTTCGGCCATCTTAATTCCACTTCTAGTATTGTCCGGCAGAAACCTCAGGAATGTTCAGTTTGATTTCAGCTAGATTCCCAACTGGCATCTATCAGGCGTAGGTTCAGATAGATACTTGAGTATCGCAATCCCGAACCCCTCTGAATCTTCCTGGGTAGTTGTAGTATCTACAAGGATATCAAGCGTACATTTGTTTGTGATTTATGGGACATATTAGTTCGGGGTGTTCCTTGAATAATACTATAAATATAAGCGCCCTAGGCTGCGTGAAATTACATATACCAATGTATTTATGTTCTAAAATATCGGTCATATCAAAAAATGGGCCCTGAAGTACCCATGGTCAAGTAAACAAGGATGAATTACTTAGAGTGTCCGCGAGTCCCGCTGCTTGGCCGCAAAACCTGCCAAGATATCATCAGAGATCGCTCTATATGATCAGCGTTGAATTACGTATTTTGGCTTGAGTCCGTCTGCACTAAGGTGACTATGATAGGTTACACAGACGCCTTGCCCGTGTATGCATGTGACGAGTACTTGCAGCTACTGTGATTGCACCTGCTTCGAGATACCATGCACAATCGCCCGAGTCATCATGAGCTATGCATTGCCACAAATGAAATTTTCCATAGAATCTACCTCGGATTTATATTAAACCGCTCTGATTTACTGTTGCCCTGTACGAACATGGGACGAAAAGTGATGTATAACTGTGCCAAGCGCCCAACACCATATCAGCTGGTATTGGTGCGCCCCACTAGATGCAAGATTGTCACTAGATGCAAAAATCTAGAATTTAGGTATATTTTGTATGACTTACCCATACAAAAGGTACTTGGGCACCCTGTAGGCATAACATTAACACGGTTACATGGATGAACTGGATGAACTGGCCAATCGGCAACGGAGCAGGGGAAAAGAAAAGCTTATCTGAGGACAACTTTAATAGACCAAAATAAAGTTACGTAAACGCCGCAGACCCCTGAGTAACTAGTGGTGGTTGATATCCCCCGTTTCATTTCTCGCAATGTTGGAGCAACCGATAACATACAATGGGGCCGTAGTAAAGGTGGTTTTACCAATTGATATTACTTTTTCGACTAATCATTATCTGATGGAAGACGTAAGGGATATATTAGATGCGGAATGCTCAATGACGAAATGTGTAAAGGTCGACCCAGCTGGAGAACTGCGGACGCCGATGACACACCCTATTATAGGCCCCTAGCGGTGTGTAGGTTGGATCTATATTGTTGTTTGAATGAACTATAGGAATTTGGAAGTCTTGGCAAGACGCTCAAATTACATAAATACCTTTGAACACTCTTGTAGATGATATTCCAAGAAATCACACAACATATTTCTCAAAGTTTTCTACAACACTCAGCAACCAACATGCATTTTTACTCTATCTTCGTGGCCACCGTTGCCTTGATCATTTCTACTGCCTCTGCCGGCGAGGAAAATTGGCAAAAAGCCGATGTTGACTGCCTTAACGTCTGCCACCCTAAGTCGAACAACTACACATGTCCTCCTGATACCGAAAAGACCCAGCTTTCTAACGTATGTTCCACCAATTATTACCTGTTTTATTATTATAAACGACTAACATTTAATTAAATGTGCTATAGGGCTGCTGGACGTGCTGCGACAGTGCTTAAACCGAGCATGGACAAAGAGTAAATGGTGTACTTCTACGAACAGGCTTGGAGGATAGGAGGTCACTTTCGATTTGTGATGAAAATGTTCTGTTCTTCCAACTGGTAGCCGGTTCAGTTTTTTAACTAGGAACAATCGAAGAGTAAAGTGGTGGCACCAGTTTCGGGACACACTGTACACGACTCCTACTACTACTATTACCAGCTGTATCATAAACATATGTGTTGGATAAGGTAAAAAATATTCCAATTGAGGTTATAGCAGATTGGAGTACAGTCACAGATGGTGTTTGGAGTTTCCCGGGTCTATAAAAGTGAGGACTACTGGCATCTTGGGCTTTAGTCCAATTTTGTTCCTCAAACGATCAATATCGAACACCGACCATAACATGGATCATAAATTTGGTCTAGGTTACGGCGAACTATAGATGTAGCATCTCGCTGTCCGTGGACCTGATAATGAGGTCAAATAATGAATGCCCTGTTATTTGTATTTTGCGTAACTATCATATGGCCCAAATTTCATGACATGAAGCAAGCCCTCATTGCAGTCCCAGATTTTCACGACAGAACTTCTCACTTTCCTCACACACATCAAATCCATTGATCCACATTCTACCACCAGGCTCAAATGTGCTCTTACAAGCGGGATCAGGCGTGGGTCTCTCCCGGATCATCTTCTCTCTAACCTTCTCAAGTCCAAGCTCAGCCAACTGTGCCCGTTGCTTATCGCGAATAGCATTCCATTTCTCATCTCGTGAAAGCTGACGTTCTCCATCCGGAAGTGTCATGTCACTGGCATTGCCACGGCTGATACTGCGTAGATGATCCACACGAGCCTGTCTAAACTGGCTCCAAGCACTCATCACCTTCGGCAGATCCTCTCTCGACTTCAGATGCCCCACAAACTCCGCCAGACTCGCTGCATCCTCTATCGCCATTCCGGCCCCTTGTGCAGCGTGAGGAAGAAGTGCATGCGCCGCGTCCCCAACTAGCGCTACCCTTCCGGATGTACTGACATAGCTGGGAATAGGAGGTACCTCGCCCAAGGTCCAGGAAACGCACTCCCCCTCTTGCACAAGCGAGGCCAGCGCTTGTACCTCCTCACACCACTCACACACAAGCCCCCGCATTGTTTCAATGTCGGCAGGGTGATTCCAAGACCCGACTGGCACTCCTTCGCTCGGCCGTGGAACACCAATAACAAGATTATATAACTCCTTCGAGGCAACTGTATACCCCAATACAAATACGCCAGGCCCCACCCATGACTTCGCCTCCGGGGAAGCCATAAATGGCGCAGTGATTGGATTGGAGAGCATTCGGGACCGCGGTATCACAGCACGGTAGTGATGTTCCCGATAAGCTATGGGGGACACATCCTTTGACGCCGGCAAGCATCGTCTGGCTCGAGACCAGATGCCGTCTGCCGCGACCGTGAGATCTGACTCGAAGAGCTCCCCGTCTGCCGTGTGGACAGTACCGGTCTCATGGTCCACGGATTTAACGGACTTACCAAATAAAACAGACACGTTGGGCAGCTGTTTCACCCGATCATATAGCGCTTGCTGCAGATCTGGTCGGTAGATCTGCCATTGGGGCCAGCCGTAGATCCATGTGCTTGAAGGGTTGTTCAAGTTGAAGGACAATTCTGTGTTATCCTTCCAGCGGCGAATTGACAGGTGGGAGGATTGGAAAGCAACTTTTTCCAGAGCCGATGTTAGGCCCCATTTGTGTAGGACACGAGTGCTGTTTGCGAAGAGCTGCAGTCCTGCGCCGAGCTCACTTAGGGAGGTGTTTGATTCTAGGACTGTAATCTGGTGGTCGGGGTTTATGTCTGAGAGCGCTATTGCTGATGAGAGACCGGCCATCCCACTGCCGATAACTGTGATTTTTAACGGGATGCCTGGTTGATTGAAAGACATATTTATTTGCAAAAGCACAATTGAATGACCTTAGGTTCCAGGTGCTGCCGTTCGGGGTTTCGGGGTTGTTGGCGGAGGGACGAATTCCATGGCCGAGAATACTGAAGTCCCCCTACGAGCATCCGTGATCGGCCTAACCAAATGCAGCGGATGTCTTCTACGAAGAGAATACTGCAAATTTCTGACCTGTATAGCAAACCGCCAGTGGCGGGAAGCAGGCACATGGGCATGGTCTACAGGTCCTGAGCGACCATGGTCTTCGTCTCTGTTCCTCCCACCGAGTTATTTCATATATTGCCATAGTGCTCCGAACTCTGCATTCCCTTTTACGATTCTGGTGGACTTAACTAGCTCTAGCCGAACATGGCTGACTTCGTGAATCAGGTGTGTGGGTCTGAATCAAAGACATGGGTATCGTGGCCCGTTTTCTCGTCAACGTCGATAATCTTGGCTACGCGACTGGCCGACATCGGTCAGGCGAGTCAGCTAAATTTCTTGCTTCAGCATTACATATGCGGTCTCGGCTAGCCCTGTAATTTGTAAAGTGACATTAATTATTGAGGTATTACTTTTTGTGATGTATAACCTACTGTGGGTCTATCACTATTTGCATTGAAATTCGCCAGTATCGTACTAAAAGTTGAGGGCTTAGGAGTTTGCCAAGCTAGGTTTATATTTTAAATCGAACCCTACGGTTGCGGCAAGTTGATTGAGTCTCCGAGGGTAGTAGTTGATTGTTAATTTGATATAGAAACAATACAGGATCCGCTACTCTGTGCCCAGCTGTTTACAAATGCAGTAGTTTGTATATTGTATCCACATTTATTGGAAGGGTTGGAAATGTGTAGGCTTAGTATGCAATTCAATACTGAACCACAGATATAGATAGTGATAATACCTGTAGGTTCAACTCTCGCTTAAAAGAACTAAAATTAAAAAGAGAGATGAGCTGTCCTAGGTGGCTGGCTGAAATCTGCGGTCTTTGATCACAAGTGGACCTAGGATATAACACGGTCTCACCGTCAATTAGTGATGTGATATTTCACACAAACGATTGACTATTAATAGATCCGAAGCTATAGAGTTTCAGCGTATGTTAAATTTTAAATAGGTACAAAGAAGAATTACGATAGTCATCCTTACTGCGGCTGGAGTTTTGGTATATTCCTGACCGGGCAGTGTACTATAGCGTGGTTAAATATGGTATAGTTCCTATATCTGTATATATATTATAAGAAACCTCAAATATGGCTTGTATAGAACTGAGTTGAGATCATTGATGTGACCCTTAAGAGGTAGAGTTGCTACACAGGAGAATAAGAGAGAACTAGACAAGGTTCCCGTTCAACCTAGTATAGTCAACTTTATATGTTGAATAGGTCTCTAGCAGTTTTATTATATAGGACTCGAAGACGATAACGAACCCATAGGCCATATGGCTATAGACCTAGGTATAGAAGACTATAGTTATTAGCCAATAACGCTAATACTACATAACGAGAAACTTAGCTACAGTCGACAAACAAGCCCAAGTAGGTAGGATAATATCACTACCAATTGAAGCTGGGGTAACTAGGGGGAGGACATAATGTTAAAGAGGGGATTGAGAAAGGAGAACTAAGATATAGAGGATAGAGGGTTCAATCCATTGCAATCGTTATGTATTTCTTATATTTACGTATGGATTTGTGGATTGTATGGGTTATAGGAATAGGCTGATTCTACACTCTTTACGATCACTATCTATATACTCTCTGGGAGCACTATGCAGCCTCAACTCGTCGTTTGGACTGAGTTCTCGCTTCAGTTGGATGAAGCGCATGCATAGTTATACGCAAGTAGTTAGACCGCAACAGGTTATTTGAACTTTGTTTGATTGATTGAATCCATTTATTTTAGCATTTAAACCGACCATACTTCGTAGTTGTTGAGGTATGAAGAATCCGGCCGGTCAGATTCCACCATTCATGTAGGTAGCTTTCTCTTAAAACACTACCTGCATTCAATGATTCGGTCTCAAAAAATAAGAGACAAAGTATCGGTCCTCAACACCACCCAACGGCTGGCTCACCCGATGCACTGGGGAATGCAGGCGACCACCGGTCTGATCTTGCAGATGGTTTGCGACGTTTACCAAGACACGATTCGGTTTAGGATCTATCCATAACCACTCTTTCGTTTCTTTGGTACGCATCTGACTAGCCCATTTCTCGCACCAGAGCAAGGTGATCGAGCCAGAGTCGGTGTGGGTAGTATCGGGTACATCAGCAATGGATGCTTTGGTTGGACCAGAGACGAACTTTATTCCCGAGTCGCTTTTCCCGTCGGGGTGATGAGCAGTTTCCAGGCTCGAGGGGTCACCAAGACCAAGGCTATCAGAAATGCTGCGGAGAAGGGCGCGTACAATGGTGTCGCAGATATTGGCAAGATCTAGTATCGCCTCAGCGTGTTCTGCGAAGGGGCTTGGCAAGGTCGTTCGGTTCTGTTCGTCTCGTGTGATCTGAGAGTGGTCAGTTACCACGCATCAACATTCATGGTTATACTTACTTCGAATGTTTCAATGCCAGCGCGTTTGTAGCTGTTGATGTGTTAATATCTGGAAATCTGGCTGGAATCACTACAGGTTGACATACCCGTGAACCACACCCTCTCGGAATGCCTTCATCTTCTCTTCTAATGGTTTGGCGAAGTACTCATGCGAGCTCTGGTAAGAGGTTTGGACATATTTTGAAATTTTCTCCGAGAGGTCATCGTTGAAGGTGAGGTAGAAGAATCCTTGAGACTCCGCGGCCTTCAAAACCTTCGCCATCTCGAGTTGATCCTTTGCAATAACACTTTCAAATCTGATTTCTTCGAGCTCAGCGACGTCCAAAGACTGGTCTCCCACGAGCATGGTCGTCTGCGAGCGAGCGGAAGTCGTAGTTTGAGACATGGTGAGATGGGAATGGTAGAACTCAAGTGAGGTGTCGGTTTTGCAATTGAGCGATGGGCAGTTCATAGGTATGAGAGATAGTAGCGAGACTTATTTGCCTAACGGAGGTATCAATTTCCGGCGCCAAACAACTGTATTACGTTACATCGGCACTTTGGGTATAAATATGCAGTCAAGGAAGACGACCAATGCAACAAAAACTTGATACATTAGTTTTCCGGATGAGGGCTCTAGTTTTCAAAAAAAAAAAAAGAAATTACATCACCTGTGCTTTAGCTGCTTTTCGTTAAGTTTGGACTGGGGATTATCGCAATGTGATGGGTTGTTCATATGCAAGCCACAGGTCTGTCTATTGGATTGTAATGCATGATTATCAGACATGCAGCGGAGAGATTATCTATTGTATCCGTCAAGATTTGTGTCATGAAAGATGCGCCCCAGGTGGGTCCCTGTGCAGATAGACCATAGTTCAGCTCAGGGCGAGGTTTGATAATTACGAAGTAATTTCCTAGTAATTAATATTTTTGATGTCTCTTGTTAATTTTCGGTTTGCTAAAACCCAGGGGAAAAAGGTTATTTGTGTAAAACATTTGGAGCTACCTGCCTAGTTATGTATGTTGTAGTTTGCATTGTACTTCAGCATATTCTTGCGTATTTAATTATTTTTGGTTTCCTCTCTCCTTGTCATAATTTATCAGGATTGTCGCCTGCGTTCTGAGTTCGAAAAAACAAAACAAAAACAATATTGTCAATTGTCAATTGTACTTCAATCATCCACTATGTTGCCCTCCGACGAACTACACGGACCTCCTCTTCCTGACTGCGGAAAAACCCTCCACGAGGTGTTTTATCAGAACGTCATAGAATACCCTGATGTCACAGCTCTTGTCAGTACCCAGCAAGCTTCTACTCTCTACGGAATCCAAAACTTGCCCAGTGCCAGTGCCGAGCATGAAGTGGACTATCTACGATGGACTTACCAGGACCTCGATCGCGCTATACGGCGATTTGTCATTAGCTTACAACGTCGAGGCCTGAAAAGAGGTGATCCATTGGTTATATTCATGCCAAACACCGCCGAATATGTCATCGCCACTTGGGCTGCGTACCAGATCGGCTGCGCTTACGTTCCAATCAATCCCAGGGGTCTATCCAATGACAGGGAAATGCGGCATATGTTACAAACTGCAACAAAGGGATGTCAGTCTGATTTCATGGCCATCATTGCTGGAACATCCGATATGTGTACGCGTATTGAAGAGTTGACGTCCGAGTTCAATTGCATCAGGATATTGGTCGAAGGAGACGTGGATGGGTGGACACCGTTCAAGGAGCTGATGCACGATCCAGCTCCGGAGTTGCAGCAAAGCCTTCGCCAAGATTATCACTCAAAACACCTCGATCGAACAATATTTTTCACCAGTGGAACGACGTCTCTCCCAAAAGGTTGCAATATGCCATCGGCGTATGGGTTTGCGGCCGCCTCATGGTGGCGCCAAAGCAGTGTTCCTATGATGCCTGGGGATCGGGTCTTATTTACATTGCCAAACAACCACGGGTTTGGCTGGCTTTGTATTATGTCTCCATTCCTCAATGCAGCCACTGTTGTGCTCCCAGGGCCTAGGTTCATTGCAGAGGATGTGATAAAGGCTATCCAGGTGGAGCGAGTGAACCACGCTGGATTGGTGCCCACTATGGTGCATTCCCTGGGCAATACCTCACTTGGAACTGAAAAGTTGAGCTCCCTTCGGCGAATTGTCATGGGAGGCTCTCCCCCAACCGGAGAGGTCATCAGAATCTGCCTCGACACCTTAGGTGCGTCTGGGGTGGAAAATCTCTACGGTATGACAGAAGGTATTCTTGTGGCTTCTGGCGTCGTGAGCCAGGTCAGTGATCTTATCAAAGACGGAGATGTTTCCATCGGCACGCCACTACCTGGGATGTCTGTCCGCATATATACCAAGGACAGTAAGATGCTAGCTCGGGCTGGAGAGGCTGGCGAGATGCACTTCTCAGGTCCAAGTCTGATCAAGGGATATATCGGAGGAATCGATGGTAACTTTTACCACGGGGCAGATGGTTGTCCTTGGTTCCGTACTGGTGATAAAGCCTTCATTGGTAGCGACAATCGTCTCTACCTGATTGGGAGGTACAAAGACACCATCATTCGGGGAGGGGAGAACATTGAACCATCGGCCATCGAAGCGGTTCTGGGTCAGATTCCCGGAATCAGTGTGTTTTACCCTCAGGTTGTACGTGCACCGGACAGTGTTGCCGGCGAAGTTCCTGTTGTCGTTGTGAACCAGGAAGTTGATGATTACACGGCAAATACAATCAAGGACACCGTCTTGGCGCAGATGGGAGATCTTTATGTTCCGGCAGATGTGATATCGATCCAGACACTGGACCATGAAGAGTATCCAAGAACGATGGCCGGAAAGGTCCAGAAGACCAAACTGGAAGATCTGGTCAGGGTGTACTGGGAACACCAGCATACACAGGACGATTACAGAATCGATGGGCCCATTTCAGGCCACCAGGTGATGGAATCCTTATGCGTGGCAATTGAAAAAGAGAAAAGGATCTCCATTAATCTCTCACTTCCCATGATTGAACTGGGAGTTGATTCAATTTCATCCATCGCAATTCTCAAGCGCGTCCAGGTCGAAACAGGCGTATCGTTACCATCATCTCTGTTCTTCACCCAGGCCACAGTCAGCGCAATCTGCCAACAGATAATATCTATCTCAGATGCAGCAGATTTTATTCGTTTTACACCCCTGATGGAGGACGGACCTCGCAATCTGTGCTTTTCGGTCCTCCTCCAGGGGACCCCGAGAGCAGGCGTTCCATCCCTTTTCCTCGCCCCTCCAGGCTCGGGAAATGCTTTCGTGTACAGAACACTACCTAAGTTCTTCAACGACTATGCAGTCTACAGCTTTGGCTCTCCATTCCTCATGACCAAATCGGAATCTTCTTGGACGATAGAAGAAACCGCCACCATTTATGCAAACACTATCCTCAGCATTGATCCCTTTGGCCCATATATACTGTGTGGCTGGTCAATGGGAACAGCCACGGCATATGAGACCGCATACCAGCTTCACGAACGGGGCAAGCAAGTTCTGGGAATAATCATGCTGGACTTGGCATTGCCTCGGCAACCCTCCATGATCCCGGAGGCAACCGTCGACCTGTTTGAAATGATGGGCGTGTTCCCCCCAATTCGTCGCGAAGGAAAGCCCGACGTGGAGGTTCCTGCTTTTCGAAAGAAGCATCGAGTCGCAGCTTATCACGCGAAAATGAGATATGTGCCTCGTCCCTTCAACACAGGAAATGCAAGCCGACCGCGGATATTTGTCATCTGGGCCGGGCATGGCGACCATGACAGAATGGGAGACATGGTGATCGAAGCAATCGATCTTGCGAAGAAAGAAGGACCAGAGACAAAGCTGAAGCTTAGCGATGACTGGCTTCAAGCCCCGCGTGAATGTTTTGATGCTGGTGGCTGGGACGAAATGGTTGGACCAGAGTATGTGGAGTGGGCCATTGTTGATGATGCAGATCATGACACGCTTATAGAGTCAGAAGAACTGGTAAGTCTCGCATTATTTGCCCCTTGATTGTATTGGCGACTGACCAGGCATTCATAGGTTGTTTTGACGAAGGGCTTGATGGAAAAGGCAGTGGATAAATGGGTGCGAGAAATGGAGACTAGGCCCAACGGTTCAGGTTGAAAGAGTTAAGGTATTCCACAAGCTATGCTGGCAAGAATTAAGTTCGCAAGGTCAACAGATTCTCAAGTTCGCAAGTTCAACAGATTCTCAGATTCTATCTGGAGAAACTCAAAAGTTCCTTTTATTCAGCTCAATGGTGAATATCTAGTAGCCCCCGGATATTCATACCTACGTTTGAGCTATTGAGTTCATGTTTTATATAACTTTACCACCTGGGCAAATACAAGCAAAATCCTGCATCTCCACACCTCAGCGTGATTAAGATCATTAGGGGCTGGGAACCAACCTATCTGCCTTCATCGTAACGAATTTCTAGTACATGAGATCGAAGATCACTCTGATACAACCTACTGGCAAGCAAACCTTTGAATATATCTCGATTTGCCTCGGACTTACTGCTCTCAACATCCCGTCCACAAATTCCAAGTCAAGCGTCTAATATCTAAAGAATTACATCCTTCATTGGTACTAGATGCATATAACGACTCAATTTCAAATGAGAAGATCATCCCTAATGGCGCTATATGCATTTGTGAACGCGCAGAATGATAATTTCGAGGCCTGAGGCATCAATCCGGGCAGACAAGTGGACAGAAGAATACCAAGAAAGGACATGGGCTAGCTGCGGGTTGGTTTGATAAACTAGGGGGTCGATGGCCAACACTTGTTTAGGTGACTGCGCTGTCATTGGCGCTGGGACCCAGTTTTCACACTCAATGGATGAAGCACCCGCATAGCCATTACGCAACGAGATAGCCCCGGTCGGTAATTAGTGACTTATAACAATCCTTCCATATGCATGAAGTTGTGATGGAGACCAAGACATGAACTCCGTATGTGCTCGTGCCAAGACCATCCTCTGACCGCTGCGCGCTACTGGACCGTGCACGGTGTTGTCAGTGGAGTTTGTAATATATCGCGTGCAGCATCACGACCTGTGTCGATAGGCGGGGTTTTCACATTAGGAAATCCACCAGTTTTTACTCCGTACGGTCTCGTCTTCTGTCTAGACCTCCCGAGTCGCGGCCGGGAGGCACTGATCTCCACCTCAGCTAGCCACAGTTTTGCAGTGTGTACCCTTGTAAAGTAAATACCGATCCTCCAGGATGAGACGTAGCGAGGATGCAATGCATTTCCTCGGGGATTCATTCCCTGGTAGACTTAGAGCACATGTCGAGTATTATTCAGATTCGCGCTATAATATGCAGGCGACTTATGAGAAAGGGGAATTGATAATCATAGTCAATTACCAGGTATTAAAATAGAGATACTGCATGATACCTGCTGCACTTCGTAAGTTATTCTTTAGGGCGGAAACACCAGAGTTGATCCATTCAGGCTGATGAATTAAAGAACTTTGCCAACTTGTTAAATCTACCCTCCACTTGCTTAACTGCAGAGTCAATCGCGCAATCTTTCTTGGTCGCCATACTTGTATCCAGTATGACGAAGCAAGAATCTCCCAATATTGTCAATCTGACAACGAAGGCCGTGGCAAGTATTGATGCATATCAAGCAGACAAAACTGAACAGGCGCGGCAGGATGCCCTTGCAAATGCTGTTAGACTAGTGAGAGCTCTCGAAACCCCCGCAGATGCAATCTACAAGCTATTTGCTTCGGTATGAACCAACCTTCAGCACTTTATCTACCCACTGCTAATGTTTGGAACCAAAAGCCTGCTATTCTCATGGCTGTTAAGACCGCCAATGACATGGGTATCTTTACCCTTTTGTCTGAAAAGCGCTCTGCTGTATCCTGGGAAGAGTTGGCTGCACTGAAAAACGCGGATATCCAACTTGTTGGTAGGTATTCATATTGACCTGAATTTCCTTGCACGTATTGACCGTTTTGGTAGAACGTATAATGCGTGTCCTTGTTTGCAATGGCTTTGCTAGTGAACTAGGTCCCGGCCAATACGCGCCTACCGACCTATCAAGCAAGATGACAGAGAGGAAAACGATTGGAACAATGGACTCACTGTCAGTATCTTCTTATTTATACAATTACTACCACGCCCGACCAGTTCTGATCTAACATGATCAACTTAGCTTCATCGACTTTTTACCTATCATTCAGAAAACACCGGAATTCTTCCAAAAGTCTGACTACAAAAACCCTGGGGACCCCATCAATGGGCCATTTCAACATGCCTATAACACAACTGGTTCCTGCTGGGACTGGCTAGCCAAGAACCCAGATGCACTAGACCGTTTTAATACTTTCATGGAGGGCGGCCGAGATGACACCTCTCACTGGACTGACTGGTTTCCTGCTCAGGAGCAGTTACTGGATGGAGTGTCGACCGATTGTCCGCTGCTTGTTGATGTTGGCGGAGGTCGCGGTCATGACCTCGTCGGATTCAAGCAAAGATTCCCCATTGGGGCCGGGAGGCTTGTACTTGAGGATCTGCCTTCGGTTATTGAGGACATTCAAAAACTCGACAGTGACATTCAGAGAGTCAAACATAACTTTTTCGAGCCTCAGCCAGTCAAAGGTTTGTGATGCTCCTTTTGTGTTTGTCAATTGTCTAACAGGTACCATAGGTGCTCGCGCATACTACTTCAAGCATATCATGCACGATTGGTCGGATGATAACTGCAGGGTGATTTTGAAGCACACCACAGCTGCCATGGAGAGGGGATTTTCAAAAGTTTTGATTGAGGATTACATTGTTCCTGACACAAATGCCGGTCCAAAGGAGGCGTTGACTGATATGATTGTCATGGTATGGTGTCCAGGGATTGAACGGACGCGTCAGAGGTGGATAGAGCTTTTGGAGTCAGTCGGACTGACAATCACAAACTTCTGGCTACCTCATGGGTATCACAAAGGCATCATTGAAGCCGAACTACAAGGGAAGGTTTGAGGGGCTTGGCGTCTGGCGGGCTGTGGGTGCACTCTCATAGCTTCATTTACATAGCTCAGCAGGTTACCTACCCAATACACATCCCATCTGAGCTTCAAATTCTCTTCCCGCCCTATATTGACATCTGGGCCAACGTACCTCGATGGGGTTACTTAATCAATCATACATAGCTATTTAATGTAAGAAAGATGAAATACTTCGTAGGCGTTGTGTTAGAGCCCTGTAAGGGTGCTGGGTCTACCAAGACGTATCTGAGTGGAGAGAAAACCTTCGAGTTCCGGACAAGGTAACTCAGAAGTTATCCGCAATTACAATTGAATTGATTCCTGATACCATGTCAATTCATGACAAAGTATTATCTGGAAATGGGACATTTCCAAAAAAAGAAAAAAGACGTTTGACAGATTGATTCAACCGGAAACGATGAAATCCATCGAGCGAGTACTAGCAAATTGAAGGTATACATAGCCCTTTCCAAAACTTTCCTTCAGAGTTTGATCTCCTCTTTCCGTCGTCTGACACGGGCCTTGAGGCCCGGATGAGCCACATGAGTGTACCCCCGTTGAAACCATGCGCCTTCGTCAGGAATAATAACCGAAACGTCATACTTCATGAGCACATTACAGAGAAGTATCTTTTGCATATAAGATGCGAAAAACCTTCCGGGGCATGCTTGAGATCCGTGGCCAAAACCAAAATGGTCTGGAGACGTCGACGTAAAATTGTATGATGCCTGGTTTGTAGAAGAATCTGGCTTCTGGCGTAGATTGAAGAATCGGTAACCATCAAATTGATCACCATCAGGCCAGACTGATGCATCAATCACGTGGCAGGCAGAGACCATAAGCGGGGTTCCTTTGGGAATAATGAGTCCGTCGGGTAACACGACTTCCTCCAAAGCGATTCGTTGCATCAGAACTGACATCAAGAGTTAAGAATGGCCTTTTGGAGTCTATGTGGGTGAGACTTACGAACGGACTCAGGATGCATACGCTGGGCCTCTTTCAGGACGCTGTCCATGAGCACTAAACCATGTAAGGTATTCTTGTTGAAACCCTCTTTCCCAACCACGCTCACAATCTCAGAACGGAGATCATTTACAAGCTGATCGTTTGTAAAAACCGAGTGAAGGACATGAGTGAAAAGTTCGCCGCCTCCGTCATATGACACTAAGCAGAGAGCAATTAACATGGACGCAAGCTCATCTGATCGACCTTCCATCTTTTCATGTAAGAAACTTAGCGGGTTTTTGGAATCAATTTCCAATGACTGTCCATCTAACCTTTCCTTCAAAGGCTCCAACAGAGTATTGATACGCTGGAAGAGGGACTGAAGCTTCCTACAATTGGGAAGGAAAGGTGCGACCCAGCGCTTCGCCCATCTCGGGAAAGCTCGAAGTTCATATCCTGCCAAGGCTGACAATTCGACATACTCCGAGCTCGCATTTATCCACTCCGGATTTCGATAGAAGTCCTCGTCGTTGATAAATGTCCTAGACATTATGTGTCCAAACATCTTCCAGACGGAGTCTTTCAACATAACCTCGTGGAATTCTGATCGATTTCTCAGCTTCAATCTCAGGCATAAGTCAATGTGTGGGGTCATGGAGTGGTACCAGGCTTATCAGTCCAGACCTGATCAAGGGCATAGTCAGATTCTTCATTAAGCGGCTCAATAAAAGTCCCTATTCTAATGTCAGCTAGGTTCTTCTGCCTCGAAAACGTCTAGGCATGACAAGTAAGGTAGACGAGATGGGAAAATTCTAACCCAAATGGCGATTAAGCGAATGCTTTGTAACGGCGTGTAAAATCTTCTTGTCGCTTGTCATTGATTCCATTGGCTCAAAGCCATGCACGCCATTGACAAGTTTCTGTTTCCATGTCAGCTTTTGATTTCGCCAAAATGGCATTTTCCTTACATCCGCGAGCGCTGTGATGAAATCCAGGCGCTTTTCATTGCGGAGCATATCAACGTATTTGCCAGACAAGATCAGGCGATATCTAGAATCGGTGTAGAGATAGAAAGCATCTCCGTACTGCTCGGGAGTAAGCAAAAATTCAAAAAAAAAATGTAATATACCAGAATTGGGACATGACAGACCTTCTGCAAGCAGGACCTGACAACACCAAGGCAATCATCCCGGATTCGCTGTCTAGCTTTGCCATTGCCTATCTCATACCACCTTCTGCCAATAACTGGCAGCCCGGACGGATTATTAAGCTTTGTGGATTTCCACCAGTAGCATAAGATAAAGACAATAGCGCCATAAAAGATATAGGGTGGCCTTATTTCGATATCTCGAAGTTTCGAAATTGCGTCTTCGAGATGGAAAGACATTTCAAAGTATGGTATTTGAGTGAAAGAAAAGGCCCTGGGCAACAAGTCCTGCTCCAAAAGTGGTAGGGATAATATCTTTTTACCCCCTTTGAATAAGTTTAATGACCTAGTTATAAATAGCGATTGACTAATCGTTCACCGTAGTTAGCAAACTATGTACGTCTTACTCTAAACCTGAATGCATTACGGCTGCTATGTCAATATGTGTTTAAAATTTGCAAAATACGGACAGGATATGTTTCGAACGTAATTGTTACGACATATAATTTTTTTTATAGCACGATTTTGAACCACGCTAAACATCCTATATATCCATTTTAAAATCAGTGGTAATGTTGTCCTTGTGGGTCGTTCTGAGAGCATTAAAATATTGACTACTGATTGCAATTGATATATTTTTTGCGATTATTCTTGTACAAAAGAAATCCAATGATCTTACGATATATGTATTTTAGACTCTCCTCTCAAGATCGGTTTCAAAATTATTAATTCATCTCCTATACAGGGGCAGAGATGGCAATGGATCAAGGTATATGCAATGAGGTAGGTGTAGGTTCCACAGGTACTTCCGCAATGTACACATGCAGGTTTATGCATATAGCATTGCAATGGCTTATGTATTTAATATGTATTTAAGTGTATGTTGTATTAACCTTTATAAAGTAGGCTCTTAAATGAAACTTTTGTAAGAACTAGTATTCGGGTACTATACAATACAAAGGTGGAGGCGCTAAGACGGTGGGTCCAACTACCCACTTGGCGCCCCACGCAATGCAGCTTAAATAGATCTATCTCGTGCTCAGCTAGCCATCCCACATGCGATGTGAAAATCGCACCTAAAAGGCGCCACAATTTGGAACCCTCGTTTGATCTATCGCAATTTTGCAGGTATCCAAACGCCGTACATGACTCCAATTCTATTCTTTCCTGGTCTTAGACCCATTGTTTCAGTTCGAAAATAATCAGGTCCTATTCTGTTTAATTGCATATGGTCGCTGTCTCCTGAAGGATTTGGGATACGTCAAAGCTTGCATTTTACAAATAAACACTCCATTTGACTTTATCCGTTCTCCGACCTTCGTCTTCAATTTCTCTCCAATTTCATTTTTGTTTGCCTTGATTAGGTTCACATCAGGGTGGCTCTTCAGACTCACAAAATTGCCGACACTAGACGTGGAAACCTTGATCATGGACTTTCCTCAACTTATTGAGTCTATTCAGTTGGCCACTTCTTCCAGCAACCTCGAAACCTTGGACCCCCAACAGCAAGCTCAACTGTATGAGGCTTGTGATCGATTGAGGAGTCAATGTGAATCTCCTCTAGATAAGACACTCAGGCTTCTTTATACTGTAACTTTTAGCCCCCATCCCAGATATTGATTCCTCGGGCATGGGTTAGGCTAATGATTTTCAAGTGCCACCAAGCGATCGCAGTCCGTCTCGCTGTAGATCTGAAGCTCTTCGATGCAATCGCCAACCGCGCTTCTGAAGATGAAGATGGGAAAGTGCGCGTGGGCCAACTTTCCGAAGATGTGAAAGCAGATCCAAAACTAGTTGGTGAATATCTATCCCTATCCTCCACTTGAATTTCTGTCTAATCTTAATATGAAATAGGAAGGATCATGAGGTCACTTGTGCCATTGGATATTCTCAAGCAACATACATCCGATACTTTCTCATCCACGCGATTCACTATGGCCTATATTTCGACGTCTTGGATGTCCGCAGCAGTGATATTCTTGTAAATACTCTTGTCTCCATATATCAAGGGCGAACATACAACTGACACATCTAGCACTCATTTATTCTTTTTCGTCTCCCAGCTCCCCGAATATTTCAAGGAGAAAGGATGGAAAACACCAGATGATATTGACGACTCACCATGGAATTTTGCAGCCGGGTCCAAGTGTGGATACTTTAATTACATGGCATCGAAACCGTATTACCAAGACGCCTTCGACACAGTCATGGCCTCGCCCTACCGTCGCGACGAGAAAAGTTGGCTGGATTTCTTCCCCGTCGAGGAGAAGCTACAAGTGCAGAGCCCCTCCGAGGTGCTTCTAGTGGATGTCGGAGGTGGCCGGGGGAAAGATCTCCAGACCTTCCGCGAGAGGTTCCCCGATTTGCCTGGAAGGCTTGTTCTCCAGGATTTAGCCCATGTTTGTGGGACATCAGATATTCCTGGTGGAATCGAGACCCAGATTCATAATTTCTTTGATGAACAGCCCATCAAAGGGGCAAAGGCGTACTACCTCCGCACTGTTCTCCACGACTGGCCAGACAGGCAGGCTGTGATGATACTATCGAGGCTTCGTGAGGCAATGGCCCCCGATTCTTCGCTACTAATTCATGAGAAGGCCATGCCAGAGACTAATATTCCATGGATGGCTGCGATTGGTGATATGACGATGATGACTGCTTTCTCTTCGTTAGAACGAAACAAGAATGAATGGGAGACACTATTGAAGAAGGCTGGGTTGGAGGTCACCCAGTTTTGGAAGCCCGAAGGCTCTTCCGGACAGCAACAAGTTATCATAGAGTGTTCCATCCATATAGCTGGATGATGCTTTGCTAATAGTGTATATAATTATCGATTACGGATGTGTGAGCATACGCAGGTTCGCTTTTTGTTCTTGTATGCCACAAAGGTCTGGCATTATACG